CGAGTTCACGTCCACCTCCACCGACAGCAGGAACATCACGCTCTCCACATCGCACGCCTGGATCGCCACGTGCAGGAAGTTGCGACCCTTCTTGTCCACCTGCGAGTATAACACTTTACAAACATATCCATCTACTTAATTTTTCAAACGCTTTGATCATCAAAATCACAAACACATTATATCCTTCAAGGACATATTAAAAGCTTTTTTAGAAGACCCAAAGTTGATGGTTTATTCCTGCATTTGGATTAATAAATTTAGTGGAGGGCTTAATATTTTATCTTATGATACACCTTTCATATCTCTATGGATATATATATTTCATAACCTTGAATATCTCAATGGAGAATAATTTAACTATCGCATCATAATATAGCACACATTCTTGGAAAATTTTGTTTGAAATGCATTGCATATGTGAATCAAAATCCAACCTGTTCAGCAGCTGAAGGGTTTTTCTCCAGTATAGCCTGCGCGGCCTTGTTGTTCCTAGCAGTGAGAGCGGCCGCGAAGGGCGACACGCCCTTGTTGTCCCTCGCGGACAGGTCGATTCCGGGCTGGGATAGCAGTAGCGAGATGATGCCCGCGTGCTGATTCTCTATAGCTATATGTAGCGGAGTCTTCCCCTCCGCGTCTTTGCTGTTAATGTTCGCTCCGTGCTCGAGTAGAGTCTGAAAATTGCATTTCAAAGTTTCTTGACAATTGTCCTTCGAGTCGGATTTAAATTAGCAAACTTTGTTCTACAAAACCTCTATACATAATTTTAAAAAACACATACGTTCACATTCGGAGGCACAGACATAGGACTTGGTTTTAGCTAATTTCTTTTTTCTCTTATCTTGTTTGTTCTACATTTTCTGTAACCTAACCGTAATGTTTTTTTTTCTCTTTAACAATGTTGTATACCTATAACTGGATTTGTTATCATTCTTCTGTCTTATATGTTATTTCTTATGTAATTGTTCTATAACTTATCTGTTGGTGTACTTTATAAATAAATAAATAAATACATAAATAAAATGGTCCTTCGAGTCGGATTTAAACTAGCAAACTATGCAGCGTAGTGAGCGCGCTAAGTTATGTTGTCCTGGTACCTGTATGACGTCAGAGAGTCCCCAGGTGCAGCAGAGGTGCAGCGGCGTGTGGCGCTCCGCCGCCAGCTCGGCGCCCTCGCCGCCCGCCGCCGCGCGCCGCGCGCACTCCACGTCACAACCGGAACGGATCAGGAACGTCGCTAATGACTCCTTGTTCTCATCTATTGCCCTGTACGTAAATAATTCAATAATTTTTAATACCATAAATGCGAAAGTTGAATGGTGGATGGATATTTGTCAATACAAGTCTAGTAGCCTAAATGGCTGCATGGATCTAGATAAAATTTGGCACACATGAAGAGGATAATCTGGAAGTTACTAAGTTTTTTTTTTTTTTTATTATTCTACGCGGACGAAGTCGCGGGCGGAAGGTTGAATAAGTTACTTTTTATGTTTTAATACTATTTGTTTGCAAATAGGGATTAAATAAGAACATACTTGTGTAACAGAGTTTGCAAGCACCCATCCGGCCCGGGACCCCAGCAGTCTGCATCCGCGCCGTTTCTCACGAGTATCTATAGCACAATTATAAAATACCTATACTTTTAACATAATCGTGGATTATCACTACGAAATATTAAAGGAAATTGTATTGTTTTTTTTTTCAGAAAATGAGATAGAAACTTTAGTGGAATGTAATACAAGAAATGACAGCTTTTTCTTCGTCCGATTTAAACACGCCTTCAGATATTTATGACAAATTATTTCCATCACTATTACTAATTCTTAAACTCTTTATCTTGACCAGCCACAATCATCAGTGTCAAAATTGTGAAAATCAGACACAAAATACCATAGTTTACAAAATACCTGTCTATTTGTAATGGTCAGTGTGATGGGTGTAGTGTAGTGTATGTGTGGGGGTGTGGGGGGTATGCGGAGGGTATTGGTGTACTCACACTGGCGACCTCCTCCTGGCCGGAGTCGAGCGCGGCCCAGAGCGGGGGCACGCCGTGCGCGTCGAGGCGGCTCATGTCGACGCCGCGCACGCACAGCGCCTCCACCACCAGCCCCAGCCGGCAGTGGATGGCCAGCTGCAGCGGCGTCTCGCCAGCCTCAGTCCTGTACACATGGACTAGGGTTTTGTAACGAAGGACAGAACACTGCTCAAAGTTGGAGGCTTTTACACGTCACGTAACTGTCTGAATATGTAAAATAAACTATGTAAATGTCTAAAAATGTGTAATATGCAAAAAATAATAATTGTATTGAATACATAAAGCTTAATCTTACTAATATTATAAATGCTAATATTTAGATGGATGGATGCATGTTTGTTAGAGTTTGTAGTCTAAACGGCTGAACGAATCTCGATGAAAATTGGTATACATATAGAACACAGTGTGGAAGATGACATAGACTACTCGCTTTTGTTTTATATTAATTTCACGCAGACATAACAGTTTGCGGCTGTTAAGTACCATTTTTCAAAAAAACGACTGACTGCTCAACTACATTTATCTAGCGTTGTAAATACTAGTGGAAATAGCATATACTTTTCTCATACAGTAACAGAAAATGGGATATCCAATCGGATAGAAAGAATAGTTATCTTATTTTAAGAGAAACTATCGATAACTATTAACTCACAAAGCGTCCATATCAGCTCCCTGATCTAGTAGATATATGGCGATTCTAGAATCTTCTTCGACAATAGCTTGATGTAAGGCAGTGAAGCCTTTACCGTTACGTACATTAGGATCAGCTCCGCCTTCGATTAGGGGTTTTACTAGATTTTTGTGTCCTGAAAAGAAACATCAATGACTAACTGTTCCCTTGCGACTACATCCGCAAAAAATTATAAAAATTTTATTTTATTACATGTGTCAAATTATCAATTGCAAATGTCAAAATTACATGACATGCTTCCTTGATGTTGGCAGCAACTTATGGTCTCCTTCCCACATTAGGGTTTTTATCCAAAATATTTAAACCCTAAATTTAATGGCATGAAAATATATAGCCTAAAGCATGACGTAAGTGCAGGCCTTTTTATCAAAAATTATTCAAAAATATGCTGTAATTGCTGACATCTTAGGCAACAAGGAAGTGTGTGTTTACGCTTTATTATAATAGTATAGATATCTTTGTTTTTCCTACCTTCAGTAAGCGCTAGACTAACAGGAGTGTCGCCCTCCGAGTTCTTCATATTCAAGTTGGGCAGCAGACTGACGTTGCTGCGGTCCGCGGCCGCCATCTCCCCCTTCTCTATCAACTTCTTGTGCTCTAAGATAGCCAGCACCGCACCCTCGTGGTTGTTCAGCACCGCCAGGTGCAGAGGAGTTTGTCTACATACGTTGAATAATCATTTACCAGTACAACAACCAATATTTTAATATTGTTGCATTGCTTAGCAAACGCAACTGTGGGTTGTTATTTACGAATACTTGAAGATTTGCTTGTCCCTAGTCCTCATTATTCTTTCATCCTTCTCTTTTGTGAATGAGATAGTAGACAAAGACAGTAGTATAGACAAAAAAAAATGTTTATTAACTTTAGGGTAATTTCACAAAATTTGATTTGATTGTTGACACTACTATATCGTATTTATTTTATTTCATTTATTAAACGTAACTCCTGACTCAGATGTGTTACGACCTCTCATCCCTTGTCCCTATGGGTGGGCACAGTATGTAATGCTCTTCCATTCATCTCTTATCAGCCGTTATATCTGAATCCACTCTAAAGCATATCCTCTTTCACCGAATCCATTACAACTTTCACCTTTGTAGCCATCCACATTCAACATTAATACTTTCTTGTTCATATATTTTTTTATAGGAAAAGCGGGCAAACGAGCAGCAGATCGCTTGGTAATCATAACATCTCGCTACGCTCTATACTTCCTCCACTAGTGGGTCTTCTTTCGAATTTCCTCTATGTGCGTTACGACTAGCATAAGAGCGTCGGTGGCTCAGTGGTTTAAGCACTTGACTTGTAATCTACAGGTCTTGGGTTCGAATCCCGCCGTGAACCAATCTGATTTTCAATTTTTCGAATTTTCATATGTACATAATTTACCCGACGTTCTTACGGTGAAGGAAAATATCGTAAACTGTACATATCGGCGAAGAAATTCAAAGATATGTGTGAAGTCGACCAACCCGCAGAGGGCCAGCGTGGTTGACTATGGCCTAATCACCCTAATTTAGGGTAGGCTCCGAGCCCCTCGGTGGGGACATATAGTGAGCTGGTGATGATGATGATGACTAGCACCTCACCTATAAACAGTATCCTCCTGTTCTCCATACGCTGTCTGCAGATTGTGCCGTGCGCCGTGCTCCAGCAGTGCTGCAGTGAGGCGCGTGAGGCCGCTAGCGCATGCCGCGTGCAGTGCGGTCACACCAGCCTCATTGCCGTGGTTTAAATCACCATTCAAATGAGATACGAGAAACACTGCTGAATCCTATAATAGAGATGACTAAAATTGTAGAAAAACTGCCGGCAAAGTTACTGTCTAAAAATATAGTAGTTTATGTGATCTCTAACAATAATCCATCAGCCATAATCTATATAAATAAAGAAGAATTTCATTGTTTATTAGCATTGAATAGGCTCCAAGCCACTGATTCCAATTCAAAAATTATTTAGCCATTAAAACGCTACTTTTTTTTTTTTTTTATAACATAAGGTGGCAAACGAGCAAGCGGCCACCTGAAATCGCCAAAATGGCGAAGCGACCGCTGCCCATAGACGTCCGCAATTGCAGATGCGTTGCCTACCCTTATCCGACGGAGGAGGAGACGCACATAAAGAGGATATTTCCCCTTCCTATGCATCTCCTCACCGTCAAATCCACTTCCTCTTCCCAACCTCTCTTTATAAGAAAAGGGTGGTAAAGGGAAAGGGACTTAAATTAGGCCTCCGGCACCACACTCACATCAGACGAAACACGGAATTGCTTCCATTTCACGCCTGTCTTCTGTGTGGTCGTGGTGTTACACCGGGCGTGCCGGCCCATTCGTGCTAAAATGTTAAAGCGGGCACTACCACTGTTGAAAAACTACTTTACAACGAAGTAACATTTTACTAATATTATAAATGCGAAAGTATAGATGGATGGATGTTTGTTAAGAGTTTGTAACGTTAACAACGGAACGGATCTCAATGAAGTTTGGCATAGATGTAGAGAATAGTCTGGCTACTTACTTTTTGACCGACATCCCAAAAGAAGGAGGTTTTCAATTCGTATGTATGTTTTATGTGTGTTATGTTTTTTTAATTCCACACCGAGGAAGGCGCAGGTAATAGGCTACATTTTACATCAAAAGGTAAAAGAAATAAAACTAAGATAAAATCATTATGTTACCTCAAACCATCCTTGTATCAAAATATGAAGTAGACTATCCCCAGAACCGGAGTACAATGGATTCGGTTGACATCCTTTTTCTAAAAGCTTAGCAGCGAAACCTCGTTCTATAATATTCTCTGTTTTACCTTCCACTGGGTCTTCTGTGAACGCGTTTTTATTCGTCACTGGTGTATCGAATGGATTGGAACCGTTCATTACAAGAGTTTCACTGGAGGATATCGAGGCTCGTCTATCATCGACCAAAGCGTAGTACAAAGGTGGATGTTCATCCGCTAATGTTCTTAAATTCGTGTCCAAATTAGGCTGTTTCAGTAGAAGATCGAATATTTTTAGATTTCTTGATATAACAGATTGGTGTAGGGGTGTGCTGAAAAAAAAATACATGATACAAGTTTTGTGGTATATCTATAGCATTGTTAGTGGAGAACTGTTTGGATGAAAGCTTATTACAACGTAATTATATTTCTCTTGTGATATTCCGAGCTGCTATAAAGTTTGCATGACAATATACCAGTTTGTTGACATAACGCAGTTGTAGTGTATTGAAGAATAAAAGCAGACCTTTGACTAAACTATCACATAACTGTTGTGCGATTGTAGATTGTTTTACAGACAATTCAACAGTTTAGTTGCACAACTAAAAATCGAGTAGTGAGCACATCTCTGTATACGCTCATAGGAAACAACGCGAGACTAAATGCGATAGTTTTGTTTCTAGTTTACGCGCACTCTTATTGTACTAACAATTTATTACAACATACATACCCATTATTACAAGAATGCTTTATAATTATTATTTTTTTGTCTTATTGAAACGAGGATTCCCTCTTAAAGGTCGTTATTAAGTTATTTTTTTATTTTATTGTTAGCCTACTTTAGGTATAGATGGCGATTATCATTACGATATTGCCAAATAAAAGAGAAAACGAAGTTAATTTAGGGCGCACTTGATATTGGTCAATGAACCTTCACGAGATCAGAGAATTATCTTGAGTTTAAATAAATATAACATTTTAACATATTTAAGACTAACTGTTGCTCGCGACTTCGCCTGCGTGGAATTAAAAAAATCGTTAAAATATGGCCTATGTTACTCACAGATAAATTACCTTTCTAAAGGTGAAAGAATTTTTTTTAACGGGAAAGTAATTTTTACGTGATTCAAATGCATATAAAAATAAAAAGCAGCTGTTTTTATAATTTAGTTATAATCTAACGTTGGGTTGCATTGCCGATATCTAGCTATGACAAAAATATACAAAAAAAACTAAATAATTCATATTGTATTTCTCGTTCGTAGTTTCTAAACAAGAGCAACAATATGCTTATTACATCATTATTTTTGCTTAATACTTCAAACAAAGTATCTATGATACTTTTACATGCACTGTCTTTAGGTCACTCGTGAAGACAACCAAACCCTCCCACGCGGATTCACCCACGGCTCACTATCGATGACTAAGCATGGGAGCAACAACCGATTTATTTTATTTGTCTGCGTATATATATACATTTAAGTCATGATTAAGAGTACAAAATATATTACGGATCCTTGTCATTATCTCCTTCTTGCATGTTAGATAATACCTCACTCAGAGTATGGTCTGCTTGAGTGCTTACCGATAAATTAAAGACTCTGAGAGTGGCAGTAACATTTTGCAAATACATTAAAATATTCGTTACAACTTTTTTCTACACTATGACAATAATTTTAACTTGTCAACTTACTATCCTTTTCTGTTCTGTCGGTTGATATCTGCGCCTTTCGCGACCACCGTTTCTGCGATCTCTACCATCTGCTCCATAGTGTCGGGCTCACACGAGCTGGACGTCAACGCTGCTATCAGGTGCAAGACTGTGTCACCTTCCTCTCTATAACAAACAAATATAAAAGGTCTTCACTGTAGTAATACAAACAGCGCACATATATGCTTAAGGAATTTTGATATCAAATACATTATAACACTAGCTGTTGCTTGCGGCTTCGTTTCTGTGAAATTAAAAATAATAATAAAAAACATGGCCTATGTTACTCACTTATAACATAGCTTTTTAATGGTGATAGAATTTTTAAATTCGGTCCAGTAGTTTTTGGGTTATTTAAAATATATGAAATACAAATATTTCCTCTTTATAACATTAGTATAGATAATCTAATTTGAATGAGAAAAATGGGATAATTATACTGGAAGTAACTTATGTACTTTGCTAAAATTTACTCATCGCAATTTCCTTGTAGCAGCTTGTTTTAATACTTTTTTAGTATTTCATAGTAAATATTTACGTAACATAATATAATAAACTAAATAATAAGAGTGCAATCTTCGAACGTGAGATTGGTTTCGGGAAGTCGACAATAAGCGATGTCAGTTCAAATTAGTCGGTTATTTGTGATTTCCTCTGTAATTACAATTATTTCTTCTCGTACATACTCAATTGACATTGGACTGATTTACGACTGAAACTAAACAGTAGCTAATGCCTCTTTGCATAAGACTAGTAGTTTAGTCGAGTACCAAATTTAGTGACTAAACGTATCTAAACAGCGTTAATTTTGTCAAGAAGATTACAAAATCATATAGTCGAGAGTATTTTTGTTACTAAATTAATCAGTACTAGGCTGAACTACTAGTTTAGTGCGAACTAGAGGGGGGGGGGGGTTAGGTAACGAAGGGCGTGTGACTGAAATCCAGCTCGACAATCGATCTTAACCAGTATCTGTTAAACTGACCCTCCCCCTTTTGCCATCTGTTACTTCCATAAATGTTTCTTATTTTGTGTAAGGCTGTATATTTTTTTGGATGGCAAATGGTTTTTTGTTTTATTTTTTTTAACTAGTCATGAAATACAAAAGCGGGAGTTTCCCGTTGGACCAATCAGCGTACCTCAATAGGCTCAACGATTATTTTCCAACGGGAAAAACTCATAAAAGCTTTCTTGATGATTTCATTCACGAATGCAGTTAATTATATATTTGCATGATCTTAATAAATCTATCTCTATAGTAGATGCAGTAAATATATACGAAAGTTCATTCAATTCGGTAAATCCAGTCAACCACACTACTGTATCGTAAACACATACGTTACGTAACATAAACAAGTCTATCAGAATAACACTGCATTCTGGAATCGTAAGTGTTTATTTGGTGGTTCAACGAACTCATTTTAGGGACGTACTCACGGAGTGCACGAAACTTGTACATATCACATGTTACGATCACAGTTAGCAGAGATTTCGCTAATTCATACGGTAAATGCATAATCATTTAATCGTATGCAACCATTTGGTTTAGTAAATGCATTGTGAGAGACTACTAATTAACTTTCTATGGAATTTATAGTTTAGGTATTCTCTTGTTGTCTCGATTAATAAGAGACGTAGGACTTAATTATAGCGCACAATAAACAAGAGAATAACAACTTGTTCTTCTTTTGTTTATTGCAGATTAAATTTGTCAAGCAAGCTTATATTTTAAATCAAAACAGGATTGTATTATCAAACTATATCGATCAGAAGGTTCTAGAGGTATGCTATAATCGGTTCTCTACGCTTTTAGATAACAGATGTATATACTAACTTTGTTGTGAGACTGGTATCAGCACCATTGTCGACAAGGAATTTTGCAGAGAAGGCATCTCTGGAGTCGACTGCCCGGTGCAGTAGCGTGCGTCCTCTGGGACCGCGGGCATCGGGGTCTGCGCAGTGCTGCAGCAGTGTTGTAGCTATGGAGGCGCTTCGCCCTCTCAGAGCCAGCTCTAAAGGAAGCTCGCCTCGCGGTGACATCGCGTTTACTATATCTGTTAGCTGTAACAAGAGATTATTATGGTTAGCTTCGATCATGGATAGGAATTCTCCTCCCACAGGCATAAGTCTCCGTTGTATTTCGCATTTCAATTTGTCAAATATATTAGTGTTTAGTGATGCATGTCAAATTAAGAATTAAACACATTCTGAATCAAAACATACGTAAACAATAAATCAGTTGCACAACATTCGAGTAATATGTTAAGTAATGTCTGCGGAAACAATCATGTGATTTAGGAACGGAACACATTTAAAGGCATGTGCACACTGAAAACACGACTATGGCGCCGTAAGTGACAAAAACTTAAGTTTTATTACAAAAACCTTTAATCTTTATCCTATATTGATAACTGTAAAAGTTATATGTAAATTTAAGATAATTTTATTAAATTAAAAATTAATACCACGACAATAATATAAGCAAAATTGCAGAGACATTTACTACTATAAGACGTAACGTCGGTACGATTTGTTCACTGCATTGTGAATATGTCTTAACAATCATGGTCGCTCATTGGTGATGCTCAACAATTAGTTGGCGCGTGCTTCCCGCCAAATAGACAATTAGGGCTGCCACTACTCTTGGTTGACCTGAATTCTTTGACTTTGCACGATGCGCGTTCGAACTACGGTGATACATCCATGTCTTTGGAATGAAGGCACCAAAGACTTGAGAGTTACCAAGTCACCGTTTTTGTCTAAACAGCCAGTGTTAGTGTCGACTATTCTCGAAGTTTAGCAGCCCTAGTTTCAATACAGTTGCGTGGACGCGTGCGCTAAGAATGCGAAGCATGCGCGCCCTGTCAATATACCGCGATGTACAGGACCTGATGAATTACAATTGCTGTTTACTTTCACGATTACACAACTCATGTGCCATTTAAGTGACGAATGGTTATCGAGATTGAATTATAGCATCGCTGCATTTGGAACAATGTAGCGTGCAAAGGGAACGAAGGATCCGATTGTTTTGTAACACCAACTTTACAAGTCTTAATTGACAGTGTATCGCAATGGTTACCGCATATTTCCTTGCTATAGAATAACATATTGTCTCTGTTCTTCTTAAATAGGATAAGGGGGACGACGTTATCTTTTGTTATTCGATTGACGATCAGCTTGTATTAATTCAACGCGACATATTGCAAGTACAAAGTCGTCTTAAAGATCAAGACAGCATTTACTGCTATTTATTCACACAGCATCGTAAAACTATTTTTATTGCTGTTGTCGCTACATAAAGACTAAAATAGATTTATACGTAAAAATATACTTACACTCTTGTTATATATGTACATATACGTATACTTATTACAATTTGAAAGTATTGATTATATTTTTAATTGATTCAATTTTACTTTAATAATGTGTGCAAGAAAATAAAACTTTAAAGTTATCAGACCAAATGTTTATTCATAAATCTATCGTTATATCCTGGCGAAGAATTTGCTTACAATAAAAACAAACAGAGAAAAAAAAACTACGTATTTGCATGAGTGATTCAATATTATCTTGACTAACAAATAATATTTCTGCCCCAGTAGTCGGTAATTATATCAAAAATGCCACCTGTTCTAGAATATTATTTGCATTAAAGTTCGCTAGCGGTTTCAACCTTTTTTTTGCTTATCATTTATGTAAAAGGTGTTCATGATTATGCATGATATGTCAAACAAAGTCAGTGGCGCACATAAACGTTTGTGTGTAAATTTAAATTATTAAATAAATAATTACATGTGCATATATTTATTAAAAACATCAATAGATTTATAAGTTAAATACAAACCAATCTTTTTTTTTATAATAAAGGGGGGCAAACGAGCGGCGAGAACACCGAAGTGGTCAGCGACGCCCATGACATCTACAGACATTGATTTGATAACATTACCTAGTAGACATAGATAGCTCAACTAAAATTGATCTGCAGCCCAAGGTGAGTGACACAGATCAATGAACTTGCAGATCAGCTCAATTAGTGCATGGTGTTAAGATCTGCAATTTGAGCTGGCACTCACAGCTCATCAGCTTACATTGAGCTGCGAGTTGATAATTGAGCTGTTGACGGCTCATGCCTGTCTGAACTGTTGAGCCATTTCGGAGCTGATGACATACCTATAGTTTAAGAAGAGATTGATGGATTGTGTGTAAGGTGATATGATTAAGGGAGTGAGGACTGGATTGACGGAAGATAACTCGAGTTGGAGGACGAAACCTGGTGCGCCAAATCCGGTGGGAAAAGCACAGATAGGATGACGACTGGCTTCATAAAATAACATGGGTTAACTAGATATATTTAGTAGTTATACTGATGACACCTTTTCAAATGACTGAAACGGGAAAAATAATTACATTATCATAACCTCCCAATAACTCAAACTTTTCTAAAATTTTGTTCGTTATTTAATAGTCTTAGGTAAAGTATACATAAAGTAGTACCCGAATGTCCGTGTTTTCTAAAAAAAATCAAAGTAAATGTATATAAAATGTATAAAATGAGTAACATAAATTGATATTTCACGCTGTACGTTCACCATTCTCTGTCGGCGTTCAATTGATAGATTGTCACGGTCAAGAGCGGCGGCATTGGATATTTACCGGATGATAGCATTACACGTAATTACGGCTAAGTGCGGCCCGATGTTAAATCTGGGAAGCGTTCAATGATTTATTTCACACTAGTAATTTGGATTTGCAGGCATTGGTTTCATTACCCGAATTACAGTAATGTTGTGTACCTTTGAGGATAAAACCTGAAATCGTGTACATTTCAGGATACGTAATGTTATCTGCACTTAAGCCCGCTAGACACGCTGTTTTAAATAAACAGTGGAACTTATGGTTACAGTTTTAACCGTAACGACTGTTAAGTTAAAACCGAACGTGTGTTGTAGGCGTAGCTTTACTTTGCGGTACGTTACGGTCATGATTTTAAACCGTATATGATATTTCTATATTCGTATTTGCGGTCTAATGATTTACATTTATTAGTAAGAATACGTAGAATTACGAACATGAATCATTTTATTTGTTAATTATATTAATTTGAGTTTAACCAAATTGGTGTTATAAAACTATAATTAGGAAAAAAAATACAGAGCACTGAAATCTATTTCTAGAACTTTTAAAATAATTTATCTAGTAACAATTACACAGTTATCAAGTTTTAAATGTTAAACCGAGTGGCCTATAGGAGTGACAGTGCAATATTTCGCAGTACAAAATAGCTTTGGGTTTTGTTTCAGACCGGTTTGAAATATCTACAGAATACGTCGACGCTGCGATCAACTGGAACAGGAACATACGACTGCAAAAGTACTTCCACAAAACATTCATACTATCATCTCTTTCATTCTCTTTGAGAAACGTGAAACAACAATATTTGCATGAACATATACGCAGTGGAAACTGAGGTTAAAATGACTCAGGTATTGAGTTGAGCTAGAGTTAAATACATATTAAAAAAACCAAGGTCATTCAGCGGCCTTTCTTAAACAATGTACTTATAGAAATAACTGTTTACAACGTTAAATCCGACAAAACCTGGTATTCAAAAATAAACATCATTTATATATAGTACAAATAACCATAAATAGCACAACAAATCCTTGAAATTTTAACATTTATTAAATTTATATGTAGACATTAAATAAATATATCGAACATGATCATTTCTATTCCACTAACATTTCCAGGTAATAAGAAATTTACCCAAGTCGTGTCCTACATACTAATGGGTCTAAATACCAACAAGGTTACTGACTGTATTTCAAGGACTCATTCATACACGAACCAATACATCAAATTAAGTGCAAATAATAAAATTACACTATTAATTACATCGAGCATAACCTTAGTTTTAAGATAGAATAACACATTACATTGATGCGTTGAAAACGAATACAAAACTAGGTTATGACATTGAATTTGCATTCGATATTTAAAACTACTTATCACATAATTATAAGAATACAAGCTGTTGCTCGCGACTCCGTCCGCGTTAAATTATAAAATAATATACACGTAACCTATGTTTCGCAATAACGTAACTTTTTAATGGTGAAAGAATTTTTAAATCGGGTCAATAGTTTTTGAGTTACTTCAATATATACAAAAATTCAAAAATACAAATCTTTCCTCTTTATAATATTTGTATAGATTACGTGTAGCTAACAAGTTTACTCTCGCATTACGAATTTAATTAAAGATTTATGAGTCCCTCAGTGTAGACCTAATGAGAGAAACCAACACTACGGTCTATTAGACCGGCAACGCATCTGCAGTTCCTCTGGTGTTGCGGATGTCTATGGGCGTCGTTGGTCACCTCGGTGTCCAGCCGTTTGTTTGCCCCACTTTTCTTATGAATAATAAATTGTAGCTGTCAGTTAAACAATAAATTTACGATTTAACAACGGATTATTAGTAATGTTATAATATTACGTGCACAAAGTGAAGGTAACAGATCTGATAACTGATAAGGCATTTAAATGCGAGCTGTTAGCACAGCTGATTTGGTTTTCATTGCTTCAGAAATAGCTCACAATTTGTTTCACAAAATAATGTCTGGTGTTTAATAATTTGGAAATATCACAAAAACAAACTATTATTTATAAGATAAATATAAAATGTACGCAGTTAAAATTTGTTTCAAAACATTAATGCGTAGATGTTACGTGTTACAAATGTCAATAAAAATGTGAATTGCGAAGTTCCTAATGTTATTAGTAGCTATGAAGAAAGCGCACCAATATCATGGGAAATAACAAGGTTCGATCATTTAGATTCGGTCAAGTACAGATCGGTTACGTAGTATTACAAGACCTTGCGACGAAGTCACACGCAGTGTGTTCCCGCCTCTGTACCGAATCGCGCGCGTTTGAAAATAAATAAATAGACGTGCAAATAAACATCTCATTAAAATATAGTGAAGTCTATTATAAAATTGAAGGTGTAATTAAAGCGCATTTGTATGTGGTTTGAAACAAAAGGTAAATATTAACGTGTTTAGTGAAATAATTGTGTACTATTAATAAGCGAAATCGTTTATGAAACAGTGCATATCTGGGCAAGTGGAAATTTTAAATGAATTAAACAAAATTAAATGTAATAAAAAAACTAATCGTAAGTGAAATGCAAATATAGACTTAATCTAAAATTACATTAGAATTTTAAATTCAAAATAAACAACAAGATTGATGTGTGTGCTTTTTGATTTGTGTTTCAATATTAATGCGTTATTTTCAATATATTTAGGAATGTTCACATAAAAAGCAAACATTTATTAACATTTCATATTTCTCAATTCTAAGTTATAGTGATAACTGTTTTAATCATACTAACATTATAAATGTGAAAGTTTAGATGGATGGATGTTTGTTAGAGTTTGTAACTGCTGAACGGATCTCAAAGAAATTTGGCATAGATGTAGAGGATAGTCTGGAATAACACATAGGCTACTTACTTTTCTTTTTTTTAATTCCACGCGGTCGGAGTCGCAGGCGATAGCTAGTTAAAGTATATTTGTGATATAAATAAAAATGCAGCACTACGTGTGATATAATCCGCAAGCGATGCATAGCCAAACAATGTTATACGGTAGTGTTATTTGCTCAATAAGCGTTTCATGATATTGCTACAAAAACTAATATTCAATAACATTATTACGTGTACGGTAAATAAATTTTCAGTTGATAACATGGCTATTAGTTAAGAAATAGTTAACATTTCATTTCGAATTATTCATGGTATAAGATGGCATAAAGTAGGCAAATTGGTAGTAAAATTAGGAAATCGAAAATGCCGTCCATGTTGCCACAGAGTAAATAAAATAACTTGGGCGTCGTAAACTTTACGACATTGCTGCGTTATTTCAAAACAAAACAATGTCTTAACTTCTATCGAAATTATCAAATACGCATATAAATAATAACACTATCATTTCGTAACTCACAAGCCTCTATGGTTTTGATATCTTATATGTTTTGTCAAAAATTAAATGCTTGATTCATTGACGAGGGAAAACACTTCAGTAATTTTTGAATATGACTGTATATCATTATTCTGAAACTAAGCAGTCTTAATGTGTGGTGAAGATTTTTTTTATATCATAGGCTACGTTTATCTTTAAAAACTCATAGGATCTTCTAAAGTATAAGTCTTCATATTAAGTACAGTATTATGCATATCGCCACTTACTGTGTAATCGACTAAAGCTATATTTAAAGTACTAACAGCGCGTGTAAAATATAATGTTTGTTTTATGCGAACTACGCCGAACCGTGACGATAAGCGACTAATTCTTAGTACTTAACGATATACGGCTAGAGCGCGCCTACATCTTGACTAAAATATCGCAGAACTGTTTCGTCTCGGTTTGATTCTTATGAGGTTATATGGAGATACGCACTCTATTCGGCTTTTAGTTGTGCAACTGAACGGTTAACTTTTCTGTGAACAATCGATGACTGACTGACACTGACTACTAAACTATCGTACAACAGTTGTGCGATAGTTTAGTAAAGGGTGTGCGCCTGCTCTTAATATGCATACAAACAGTTCGTAGTATACGCACTTATTATCATAAAAGTTGAATATCAGATTCACAAATGAGGACAACCATTACGGTAAAGGGCTATACAAAAATTGGGTTAATTCGATTCGATTCCTCGATTTCGAAAGAACCAGCGCATCTTTCGACTTTAAAGTCGCAGGTCTAGTTCACTTTAGTATTGTTTCTGTAACAATTAAGGATCAAATTATGCGATCCTTTAACGATATAATGTTTGCAAATTATCAGCAACAACGAGAAAATGTAGAGACACAAAAAGGTAAAGTCGTCTTGTAACTCACCTGGAATTTAAAAAGTAAATAAATTTCGTAGGATTACATTAATTCATTAATCAAAGTGGTGACCCAAAAACAGCCAGCGTAACATTACAATCAAAACATTGAGGCGCAACAGTTCGCGGCCTAGAAAATTAATTCACGCAACTTGCGTTTCGCCTTATGTAACGTGAACACTGATCATCAACTAAGTAACATTAACTCATCGTTCAGAATTAATTAACATTTTATTTAGAAACCGATTAAACAGATTATAAAGCAACAAATCTGAACCTAGACACTGACCGTCAAAACTTAGTGCATTTCAATGATTGCTTAATTAAAATACCACTTACCATTACGTAAATATTTTCGATAGCTTTTTCCACATCTTTAAATACGATGTGCTTTTGTTTTATTTTAAATTTTAAGTAAATTATTATATAATTCTGATTAAAAATAAATCACAAAACGTTCCAAATCGATAGAAAATTAATAAGACCATAACAGTTTATACATTTTCTTCTTTTTTTACGAGTTGTTGTAACTTAACCTCATTGGAATACTTGCAAAAATTTTTGCACATTTGTTTTACGACTTATTATATTGCTGCAACCTTCAAAAACGAGACTGTTGCCACAGATAACTATGAAGAGGCGGACAAAACGTAAGTCGCTGTAGGTGGTTTTATTATAAAACTAGCTATTGGCGGCGACTCCGTACACGTTGAATTACGAAAAACAAAAGAAAGAGGCAATGTGTTCCTCCAGACTAAGCTCTACATCTGTGCCAAATTTTACCGAGATACGTTCTGCAATTTGGCCTCAATGCATCCATCTAAATTTTCGCATTTATAATATTACTAAGGTGTAAGACAGATATCTGTAAGTACGACTTCTTGCTCTTGTTTAAAAATATATAATAAAAATGTATGTCGCCTAAACATGACTCATTCTGTGGTTATTTGATGGCGCAGTTAGCAGACTTTTGTAAACACGTGTTTGTTTGTTCCGCTTTATTTTGCAAATCCGTTGAATAGCTCGCATACATATAACAGTGGCTACGCGAAAAGTTTGTAGTGTGCAGATAATAAAAATCAATGAGAAACTAGAAATATATAATTTACTAGCTGTTGCTCGCGACTTTGCCCGCGTATGTTTAAAAAAGATATCTTATGTTACTAAATGATAACGTAGCTTTTCAATGGTGAAAGAATTTTTGAAATCGGACCAGTAGTTTTGGAGTTATTTCAATACATACAAAAATACAAATCTTTCCTCTTTATAATATTTGTATAGATTTCTATTAACCAGTTATACATGTCTATTATTTGGTAAGACGTACGATTCAATATGATACGTAATTTATTACAATTATATTTCCTCGAATTTTACATAAAAACCTTAGTATGACACTATATTCTATATTCATATATTTATTGACAGTTACAGGAAATTAACAGAAACACGAATTTATTCTAATCATACTGAACTAATATTTAATTATTGTTACAAGGAAGGCAAAGCTCCATAAGGAAGGAGTCCAAATGTTTTACGTAAAACATCCTTGAGAATAAAACACAAAAATGTAATAATAACATATATTAATTACATTTATATTCTATACGTAATAACAATTAACAACATTAATCGACTTGGAGTTTCCACAGCTAAATTATTTTTGTCTCATTTTTCCTTTATCCTTATGACTATCCCTTTTAGTTGATACTGAACGAAAAATTCACATTTTTATACGCATATTTACAATATTAAATTGACTTATATTATTGAATTACAGTTTCTATCACCTAATAGGTACAAACTGTACCTTGGCGCTTCGTTACGAAACATTCAAGCAAGCAAAAGTGCTTAGTCACAAGGTTGTAAATGACTTGGACCTTGTTTCATTATAACGAATGGTTACCAGCATTTAGACCGCAGAAACCACACTTGTGATATACTTAGTTCTGTAGCTTTAAAATTATACGCTACTTTCCGAGGGATACTATTATTTATTTACTTTTCGTGCTATTGCCGCAGTCGCTAAATATAAATTAATGGAGTCCCTAATTGTAGATTAGTAATCATGAAACGTCTCTGACAAGAGTTACTCTTTGGAAATCAATTGACATTTTATGTCGAGGCATTTATGGCTGTTATGTGAGTGATACCTATTTTGCGGTAAAAATTGGTCATAAAAAATAAATATTACAAGTATTGCTCAGCTGATTATGACGATTTTTGTAAAGATCGTAAAATCAAGTTTTAATAAAACTATGCCTAGTCTTAAAAAAATATAAAAAAGTTTTTTCGTTGTCTGTAGCTAGAACGAGTTTATCACATGTTCAAAATTAACAAAGTATATGGTAACCACCCGGATATGACAAATTGTATTATTTTTTTGTTTAATTTGTCAAATATTCATATATTCAAGACAATTAAAATGTTATTCACATCACGTAAAACAAAGTCCAATAAGTTTTATTCTGGTTCTCACATTTAATAAATATTTTGGTTAAATAATGTAAGAAATGACTTCCTTATTAACTTGCATACGGATCGGGATGTTAAAATGCAGCATAATAAGTCAAGAACTGGCAAATGTTAATCAGTAAGATGCAACATTCATGATGCAAACATATATTATTAACTTAAAAAAAAAACTATTAACTTATATTTAAGGGACTCTGTAGAAATATCTTTTTTCATTTAATCTAGAAAGCAACCATACTTCATACTAATATTATAAATACGAAAGTTTATATGGATGGATGTTTGTTAGCGTTTGTAGCCTAAGCAGCCACTTCAGATGAACGGATTTCGATGAAATTTGGTATAGACGTAGAGCATATTCTGGAAGTACACATAGGCTACTCACTTTAATTTTTTTAATTCCACGAAGACAGAATCGCAGGCGCAAGTTACTAATATCATAAACGTGTCTTATCTCTTTGAAGATAAGCCATTTTATAGCATGTTAAAGTATTAAATATTTACTGTCTGAAACAACTCTCGATTTTAATCCGTTATCAGAAGATACATCATTCGACGTGATTGAAATGATTATTAGTATATGTATGGATGTGATAATTTAAAGGCGGGCTTCTACAGGATATGAAACTGGAGACAAAGGTAGGCCTTCAAGAGCTAAAGGCCTACTTTTGTTTAGCATGAACGAGTCAAAAACTGATCTTCCTCTGTATATTTAGAATCACGCACCTAGAAAACCCGACTTTAAGGTGATCGAACAGCCGTGACTTAAAGACCTTGTTCTTGCAAGTTTATATAGAAATTACGCATGAATTAAATACCATTCCCATGTTGGTTTATTGAATTCTGTAAGCAGTTTAATAATAATTGTTATATGTCTTTCGTTAGTTATATCTGATAGCTATAAAACCTTTTATGGCTAATCTCTTTCATTTCCTTTCGTTATAAATTAAATTTACAATGATATATTTCAGCAAATACCAATGTATAAAGTATTATTAAAAATGACCATCACCAAATTTGACAATGTAACTAACCTACAAACGAAATGCGACAATAGTATAGAATGTATTCGTATATGCATGATCGATACGGTCGTGTATTCTGGTCAATAGATACATTTGGAACCGGATTCAGCAAGTGAGCAATGTGCGGCAACATGTGCTCTGAGTTACAGCGGCCCAGCCCTTGCGAAATATTACTCCACTTTGTTACTGATTATATACAAATACGACTCCTAAAGTTTAACTTAAAAAACCTTAAATTGATCTTGATACTTGCAGGTAAATACTAAAAAAATACTACGAATTGAACCTGTAAAAAGATAGATAGTAATAAAAATGCTTATAAAACTACCAGATTAAATACATCTGTCAAAACAAAAGCACATATTATGATCATCTATATTGTTAAAAATCATATAAATATCTCTGTTTCTACAAATTATAAAAGAGATGATATATTTTTATACTTTATTTCGAATGTGAAAACAATTTAAAGTACAACAAATAAATTTTAAAACTACGCCAAAATTTACATTACACTAAAAAGTTCGAAAGATTTTTTTTGTTTCGCTCTAGCACGAAAGCTAGGTATTCATTAGTGATGTGCCACGGGGGGATTGTACGTCACAAGACTTCTCTGAAACAAACTGTTTGCATTCATTCTAATATTTAAGAGTAGGAAACAGAAGGCTATTCAGTTTAGTATTCACGAAGTTTAGCTCCAATCTTGAAAGACGAGTTTCAAACACTACGAATTAACATTTTTTTATCTTTACAATGAGTTACATCTGGCTTTATTTACCATCATCATCATCAACTTGCCCTAGTCCCTAGGAAGGCCCGGCGCATGCTGCTCCTCCCTACATTTCTATCAACCGTCATATCTGAATCCACTTCCTTCTTAAGCATATCCTCTATCACACAATCCATTCATACTTTCTTAAGTAATATTTTAACAAGTTAAAATGCTTGTAGTGCCATAAGATCTTAAAGTTATAGGTATAAATCATATGAAATAAAATAGCGCCACTACTATGGTATTTAACATTTAAATCTTCTTAAAAGAAGAAATTATACATTAAGTTATAATTTAATAAGATAATTTGCACGCTCTTAAAAAATCTTAAATAGGTATATGTTTGAAGTGTAAATTAACTCTTGGCGTCACTTTTACACGGAGTAATTCAAACAATGACTACTCAAAACACATCAAACTAATATTATAATTGCAAAACTTTGGATAGATGGATGAATGTTTTTTACTACGCATCTCCAAAACGGCTTAACAGATCTCGACGAAACTTGGCACAGATGTAGTGGTCTGAAATACATAGACTATTTGATAAGTTTTTTTCTTTGCGCCGATCAAGTCGCGTTAAAAAACTAGTGTAATCAAGTGTTATATCAGTAACAATAATAATTCGTTACATTAAGATTTAAATCAAACAAGTTAAGTATACAGTTGACAGGGTACAGATAACAAGCGAGCTGGTTGAGACCTTGAAAACAAGAAAACTGTGCCAAATTGCATCGCAATTTATTTAAGCGTATATCGCCATGCGTTACACAATGCTATAGTGAACAATACTCAACTCGCAAAACTAGATTTTATATCAATAGCTAGATACTCGCTTGGGCATGACCTAGCCCAGCACTGGCACATTTTATAGTTCAAGTAACAAGTAACAGTGGTAGAGCCCGCTTTAACATCTTCGCACGAATGGGCCGGCTCGCCCGGTGCAATACCACGACCACACAGAAAACAGGCGTGAAGTGGAAGTTAATTCCGCGTTTCGTCTGATGAGTGTGGTGCCGGAGGCCTAATTTTAGTCCCTTTTCCTTTCCACTCTTTTCTTAAGAGGAAAGGATGGAAAGGAAAAGTGGATTTCACGGTAGAGGAGATGCATATGAAGGGGAAATGTTCTCTTATGTGCGTCTCCTCCTCCGTCAATGAAGAGTAGGCAACGTATCTGCAATTGTGGATGTTCATGGGCAGCGGTCGCTTTCCACTTCGGTGGATACAGGTGGCCGCTTGCTCGTTTGCCACCTTATATTATAAAAAAAAAAAAAAAAGTAACTATAGCACAAAAAGTTATAAGCTACAATTAGATTGAACATTTCTTAATATAAATAAAAAATAACATCAGTTATACAACTTTTTTAATAACCAAAATATTCATGAACTTTTCAGGAAATTCGACGAATCAACTAAGAGACTCGCTTAGATAAGAGTACACGTCAGGACCGAAAAATAAAACAACCAAAGGAGATATTTGAAGCACAACCCTGGCTCCGAAAAGATGACAATGGAAACTTGTATAATGACGACAGCGATCACAGTATTATCACTGGTTATCACAGGTACGAACACCACATAGAGATGTGCAATTAAATAAAAATAATTGACAAAACGTTACAATATAATGTGAAAACATGTAGGTTCAATACGAAACTCCTATTTGAATCGTGATAATTTACTTCACAGGAATCCGACTAAAGAATTTTATGTAAATTTCGCATAGTAATATTGAAACTTCAATCTTCAAATCACTCTAAAAGACAAACATATTAGCAAATATTGCGTTTGTATTACTCAAGTCTTCAATATTAATAAACGTCACTTGCGTACAATAGCGTCATAATTTCAAGCTGATGCTGCAGTGTAGAATAATTAGCTATTTAGAAATCAAGCTTATAAAATAATATGAAATGCAAGGGAAATGCGGAAATACATGAAGCGTGTACACGTACTTGATAACGATTACACCCCAGGATACGTAATGTACACGCCAAAAAACGTTGCATTATTACATTATGCAAGGAAATTGTTCATTTCCGCTTAGCCGCGCCTTTTTATCAACTCAAAAAAAGTTTTAGTTCCGATTCCCACACAATTAATATCAATTAGTTTTTTGTGGGTTTACATAAAGTCTTATTGTTTCTGTTCCGTTTTTATTAAACTATGTCTCGATAATTTGGTTAATAACAATTCGAGATTGAATACATTTTAAAAAGCTTATGAATTACAAAATTGTTGTAACTACAACATCTGATCTCTAGTTTAGTTCAGAATACATAACAACTGTACATAATAGTAGGCAATAAACAGAGTAAATTACTTGCGTATTTAACAACCAGTATAGTAAAACTTATACATTATAATAACAACGTTGTTAAATGTACGTGAATACATAATTATTACCTAAAGTATTTACAATGTTAATGTATTTACTTAAAATCGGCGGGAATTATAAAAGAAAAATTACATAACTTTGTTATTGTTTCATTTTATAATTGTTAGAGATCATAATCTAAATAACAATGTAACAAGTAAAACAAAAATTTAAATATATCTAAGGTTACGTCTACCAGCGTACCTTTTCATACTCATCTGTACCAATATTATAAAGAGGAAATGTTTTAGTTTATATGTATTGAAATAACTGAAAAACTACTGGGCCTATTTAAAAAATAGGCTATACTTCAAATATCACTTGGACAAAGTCGCGAGTAACAGCTAGTAAGCAATAAATTGCATGAACATTGGTTTTTATTAACATTGGGATCAAGTTTGAAATTAATTGAAAATAATCTAATAGATTCAGAAATGCAATTTTCTTGAGTCCACTACAAATGCATCCTATGCAATATTACAAATGCAAGCGATCATTAAATATGCTGAAGCGTAATGCTGCCATGACACATCCATGATACTAAACGATGAGTCAAATTATACCTAAAAACCTGTACAGCATGTGAATTAGATGACTATTATCATACTATCAGAAAATTGTTAAAAGTAATAAGAAATTGTCAAAACACATTTGTTAGTATAATGAACGAGTATGTACCAAGTAATGACCTAATTAACCCTGCAAAAAGCAATTAAGTATTCAATAAATAAAACATTTCAATCGAGGAAGCAATACATTTATTAATGAACAGTTTGTCTTACCGCACCACTGAACAAATCGTATAGAATTAAAGAGAACAAAGTAATAGGAGCTATAATAGCCACCAATCTGTATCCTGGAGTTGGATCTCCGAAATGATAGCACAAGGCCGGATATCTTCTACCTCTTTCTACACAAAGAGAAGCAGGTTCACCTTTCACGTAAACTGGTTCCTCTGTATCACATCTAGCTTCACTCTCTTCGAAAAAAGTAAATTGTGTCACCACACGAGCGACCATACCTTTCGTTCCATTCTGAAATTTGTCTAAAACACGAGAAACCCATCCTTCTTGGTATATACTGGTTAGAGAATGAACACCCCAATGTGACGCCGTCTGCGGTACACTATTTATTTCTGCAAGTAACTTTTCATCTAATACATGTACTTTAGCATCATAATTAGTATTTGTGTCATTCATTTCATCTAAATTAATTCCTATAGCCGATAAGAAAGTTGAATTTGTAAAATCAAACGTTGCCTCTAGAGCACTGGTGATATCTCTATGAGGTAATAATCCACAGAAAAATTTACGTTTCAAAAAATAAGGTGCGCCTGGTGAAAAATTACAGACCACTCTTACATCACTGTTTCTATTTATGCCAAAGGCACATCCTATTTTATGCGAGTTTGCCCATATCAACTGTACGGTGTTAAACGTTGCCGGTTCTATATGGCCACATTGAATATCAGTTTCGCTGAGGTCTTCCCCAGCACTCCAATACCATGCATGTATGCATCCAACAGCGGCCAGTACAAAACATTCAGATGAAGGCGTGCTGTAACAATATTAACTTAATTTATTTACGAAACAAGCTACCAAAAATTTCAATAACATTTAAAACTATTTACCAGTCGGTATCCGTATTATATGAGTTTAAACAACATTTTTGCATGTATTTCATACATTCGAGTTCAGAGACGTAGTTGCCCTCAAGGGCGGAGCAAGGTGCCGGCCCGGGCAGGCACTGACTAAGCCAAGCCTGTGCCATTTTCTCCAAATCAAAATCATATGTAATTTGCATCATATTAGCTGCCTGTGGTAAATGCGAATATCTAATAGACTCCCCTGAAGCTATACGGTTTCTCATAGAATTTACTGTGTTTACAAGTGCTATTTGCTCGGATATGGTAGGAGTCTTCACAGTATACCCTTTTTCACAAAATATGGATATAGTTTTATCAGGGAATAGACAAAGTGTATGGTCTCCATAACAAGGTTCGATGCCACACCATTTATTGAACATTTGTGTACCAGGAGAATATCCGTCTTTTCTAGAAATTTTGTTTTTCTTATTATGGTGTAAAACATTTTTGAGATATCCTCGATGAATTGAGAATACATCTGATATTTGTTCTTTATGTCCTAATTCACCGTACAAAATCGGTAGTTCCCAACACGGGATATCCTGTGGGACATACCATATGCTTCCATTTGCCTCGATATATTTATCATCTTTCAAGGTGACGTACGCCGCAGCCGGTTCTAAAGTATAATAATCTAGTAGCTTCAGTTTAACTATATCGGATTTGTTTTTCTTCATTTTTCTTGTATCATTTCTACTATAGTATATTCTTGGATTTCTACCTTCTTCCTTCTCTTTAGACACAAATTCGCCATTTCTCATTTGATATTTTTCATCATCATAGATGTATTCATATTCATTGAATATGTCTAATATTGGTTTCGACGAAAAATTATTCTCGTTAAGCAACATTTCTTGTGTGTTAGAATTTATCGAATCAAGAAAACTCACATTGTGCTTCTGAGTTGTACTTTCCGTAGTGACTTTAGTGACATAGTAAAATACTTTGACTTGTTCATTTCTTTCATAATCGACGTCACTTTCATCGATGGATTTATCAGTTTCATTTTGTACTGAATAATTTGTTCCAGAAGTAGACAGATTACTTTGGTTTGCAATATCAACTTCATAGTAATAATCAATACCTATACCAAGAGTACTAGTAAAACACATGTACACAATATAAAACAACATTTTACATATATGCACATCGGTCGTATTTACATCAACCAGCTAGATTTTGCATTTTATTTTTATTTAGTCGTATGTATGACTATTCATTTACCAATAAGTTTCTTCAAAGATCAACTTCGTTGATCTCGGTTTTCTAAAGTTTTTATACTGTTTAATACCACAGATATATCAGACAATTCGCCAAGAAAGACAAGGATTCAAGAGCGTTCACCGTCTCGTGACGCAGAGGTGTGTGGGTGCAAAGAATACGCATCATGACTCACAACAACTTTTTATACAATGCAATGACCTTTGTTACAAACAAAACTTCAATATGTCGCTATGGATTTTTTGGATATTTCAAGTTATATTATATGAGGCAACAATTACATGTCAATCGTACGGTGTCATGATAAATGATTTTAAACAATGCTTTGTTCTTCCGCGGTTGTGATTATCGGATCTTTATTTTGCTACGAGTAATTTGCCAAGTATAAATCCTGCATTGGGCTTTCTTAATTTTTTTTATTCTATGCATAATTTTTGTCAAGAAATAAACAAGCAGCCATCTCCTTAACCACTAGCAAGACTATCCACAGATGCATACATTTCTCTAATGGTCAAATCTAATATCATATTTATAGTTCTATTTCTAACATGTACATTTATTACATTCCAGGTGTGTCGCCTCTAGAATGCTACAAATGTCTCATCAACCCGCCGCTGGGAGAGAACTACAAAACCGCGACCAATCTATGCACTAACTTCGACTATTCCGATTCGTTTATAGTGGACTGTCCGTTTTCAACAATGTGTATGAAGCAGGACTTCCATCTCGACATACAAAACGGAGGTAAGGAAATTTTAACTCAAATCAAAATAATAGAAAAGGTGATTAAAGGAGGGGAGTGAAATAATGGATCTCCCTGCTCTGATTATACTATGAGACCAGAACGGATCTTCTATTGCATAAAAACTTCCATACTAAATATTCAATATGATTATAAATTTGCTATTAAAAAAGTTCAGGCGTTGCACTACAAAAAAAAAGATATTTATGACTTTATTATAATAAAAATTATAATGCTATTATTTTATTTATGAAAACATTTTTGATCAATTGCTTTTTTGATACATTTCAGTGAGAATAGAAGGAGTACTGCGGGATTGTGCACCGCAGAAGCACGAATATCAAGACTTCAAAAATGGGAAATGGTCTCCGAAGACAGAAGTATTAGAGCCATACAAGGAGGGGTGTTTCAGTGGCGACGACAAAGGAGAAAGAGTTACAACTAGCAGGTAACCTTACCTTGATCTACAATAATTTTCTAAATGCAAAAGTTTGAATGGATGTTAGATGTCAGTTTAGCTTGGATTTCCAATGCAACACGACGAAGGGCGACAGTCTGTATTATTTCATTTTTACATAGAAATAAAGTAACAATAACAATAGCCGTGTTTAAATAAATGTATATCACAGTTTCTGTCACGAAATATTGTAACTGAAATAACCGGCTTGAAAGCCATTTAATTAACTTATAACACGATACAAAAAGACTCTGCAGTAAATGTTAAGGTTGAAAAAGGTGTAGAAATTACCCAACTGTCAAGAATTGTAATCTCTGAATCAATCCTATCAAAAAAGGGTAAAGTTAACATCGGCGTGGCACCTTATTACCGATTGTAAGATAATCGTGCGTGAAACGCAACATGATGCGCTGTTGAAACGCACAATTACGGTAAACTGTTATTGAAACCGTTATTTTTGGTTCTTTCGTCACTTCAATGAATTTTTATGGAAAGAATTGATTTTAAAAAAGTTAACCTTTTAGTAATTTAAAAAGTCTAACTTATAGTATTTAAAAAGGGATATCAATGTGCTAATTGTTAACGTAATTTCTTGCTTCCTACGCCTCCCAATTTTGTTAAAACTTTAGATAAAAATAGATAGATGATGAATTTAGATTTGATGACCCTTCCTCTATATTAGAATGGAATGACAAACGTTACATACTCAAAAAAAAAACTTAAAAAAACCCTAACCTTGTATTAACATTCGATAGACTGTAGATCTAAAAGTTACAGGAGTATTCTGGATAAAGACAGCGAAGCGATTTTCATGATCTTTAGGGAGGCTGACATTTAGCAGTGGACGAATTTTGGCTTGAAGTAGTAAAATGTATTAACATTGAATATAAATTTCAGATATTGCTACTGCCGGGACAACTTGTGCAACTCAACTCCGAGTACGAACCATGAAGGTTACACTGACATCATGGGTGTAATTCTAGTCTTCAACCTCATGAAGTACATAAACAGTCTTAGGTAGTAAATGGTGTTAGTAGACAATTATAGTCAGTTCGTGGTGAATATGTGATATTATATTAATTAGTTTTAAGGTTGTATATTAAAGTATTATAGAAAATTATAAGTTTGTTTACTTTAAACTAGCTGTTAACCGCGATTTCGCCTGCGTGAAATTAAAAAATATAGCTTATATTACTCACTGTTAACGACGTAGCTTAATTGTGAAGTTTTTGAAATCAGGCCAATAGTTTTTAACATAAAAAAAAGAAATCTCTCCTCTTTATAATATTAGTATAGATTACATTGTTAGGAAACAGACACCCAAGTTTTGGAAAAATGTAGCAAAAAAGTCACATATCTGAGCAGTATTTTTATAGACAGTTGTTTTAATGAACAGAAATTGAGAAAGTTTTTGAGATATTTTAACACAAGCCTGCTGATTACCTACATATTCGTGTCGGTCACGGCAAACTACTTATTATGAATATGACCTCAAATAGAGAATCGAATCTGTAATGAGAATGTCGAAATTTGCGTTCAGTAACATTCGATGTAGCAACAATATGTTGTAAGAATTATTTCATTGATTAACAATTTAAATTATACTCCATGGAGGATAGGGCGAGGGAGTACAATGGCGCGGAATTATATAGGTACCATAGAGGGTACACAAATTGTAGCTATAGAGGGACCAAACCAGAAACAAGAGAAAAGAGAGGTTAAGAAGGTTAGGGAACCACAAAACTTCGACTTAAGCCTTTCAGAAAGATGTATGTTATCTTGTTGTCACAACGTCATACTGCAGTGGTTGACTCACTACTCAACTCACTCGCTACTTCAAGAATTTATAACCGTTTAATTCTATAAAGGCTCATAATATATTCTTAATTTTCTTTTCTAATATATTATTCAACAGTAATGAAATGCTTCATAAAACAATTTGAGTCTAGGAATGTTAATAAAATTTATCAAGTCCCCAAAGGCCCTATTTTAGTCTAGACGGGTGCGCCCTTAACAAATAGTTATTCGTCACGCAACACTCGTATATTCCACCGACCTATAAAACAAAGTTATTAAAAATTACGCGAGACATTACAATATAGTAATTAAAATGTCGGTACCTAAACCGGACTACACGTGAGTTATACCGTGATTTTTAATTAGTTTAAAACAAACAAGAATTGTTAAGGAGTTTAGTCCTCGACATTATAACTGTAGTTTAGAATTTGTACATAAATTCGATGTGGCGCCTACTTATTTTGATACCGCAATTTTTACTTTAAACATTATTGACTAACGTCACCTGCAGATCATAGAAAAAGAACAGTAGCAGGATATAGAGTACAGTAAGTAAATGATGCAAGTATAAATATCACAGGACTCATATGTTATTGTATTTTACTGTTATAATATCGATGACTCAGAAAAAACAAAGTCTTTGTCCTCCACATATTATTTTTTATCACACAAGGGTCACAGAACTGAACCGACATGATTCATAAATAAATTATACAAGCTCGATTTTATTGTTAGGATACTAATTACTAAGCTTAAGAATTTCTAAGTTAATCGGAAACTTGTTGTTATTTTACTCATCATCCATGTAATCCAACAAGTTAATGTTTTATCGTTTGGTGTATAAATTAATACAATATTTATAACAAAGTAATATATAATAGATAGTACATAAGTAAATATAAAAAAGCCGTTCATGCAATCATACTGAATTTACACGGGCTATTTTGACTATAAAGCTAGCAACACAAGCTCAGTTTTAACTGAACAGTTTCTCTTCAGTTAGAGCAAAGCGTGTGTTGTGGGCTTTAGAAATAATATTTTTTCTTGTATAATCTCAATATCATATTCGCATAATAACTAAGCATCTCTTCAGTGTAAACGGAAATATTATACAGGATGTTCGCTTCAAGTAATGATTAATGGGATTTTACAAATAACAATTTCCACAATTCTAAATAAAAGTACTGCAGACTGTGAATCATTAAATACAATTTACACTAATTGTATTTTTTACTCATTTATCCTAACAATTTGTTAGAACGAGAACGTTAGTTATAAGTGTGGAAGGCTACACCGGTAGAGGTAGACCTAGAAAAAGATGAATTGCGTGAAAGGTGACATGATCAAAAAGGGAGTGATGACTGAGATGACGTATGATAGTTATTTGGAGGACAAAAATCTGTTGCGCCGACTCTACGGGAGTAGGATGATGATGATGATGATGATTTATCCTAACAATTTAGTATTTAAACTAGGTTTGTGAAGTGCCAATAGTACAAATGTTTATTGGAATAGAACACAATCAAACGAGAAAAGTTTTTAGGCTTAAAAACTGACTAAAACAACTAAGCATCCATTTTTAATACAGTCCCACCCAATGTTTTAATACTCTGTTAACGAACTACCGTATGTCAGAAACTTTTTATAGACTCAAACTTATAACGGGGCGCGTCTAATCGTTTCAAGTGTTCATTTATAATCTTGATTGTCTAGTTTATTTAGGTTGCCTATAGCATCGTCGGCTAAAGGTTAAAAATAATTTTTATTTATTTGTACAATTCTGTACGCAAGTGTTTAGCGTATAAATATAGTGAAAGAATGAATCCCACACGTGTCGATGTGGGACAAAAGAGATATAAAAATTATTGCCTGATCGTATCGCACGCACTTTTGTCGGTAGGATGTGGCATGTGTCGATTACATGTACTTTTATTAATATTCGACGACCATTTTTTTTAAAGGACAGCGCTATGTAACTCCCCGTTCTCCTCTGTAGCTAAGAAGACCAAAGAAGTTATCTTTATTTAAAATCAATAAAATTCACATAATTTTCGACGACGATGTTACATTTTTTTACATTTAACTTTTAAAAGAGTCGTCTCACTGAATACATTCTTTCAGCATTAAATAAAAACTATAGATACAACAAATATATTGGCAACTTTAGTGTAAGACGTAAAGTAATCGAGTTAGCTATTCGTAAAGTAAAATATTTACATTAGCTAAGAGCAGACATCATCTGCTCGTTACAATAACAAACGATATGCAAAGAAACTTTAAAATACGTAATACAGTTTAGTAATCTGAAAAATATGCAGCCACAGTCACACACAATTATTTAAAACTAGCTTTCGCCCGCGACTCCACTCGCGCAGACAAAAAAAAACAAAAGTAAGTATCCTATGTGTTCTTTCAGACTATGGTCTACTATTATGCCAAATTTCATCGAGATTTAGCAATTTCGGGTTGCCGAAGAGTTTGTTGAAACTCTAACTTTTTTTTCATTTAAACTTTCGCATTTATAACATTAGTAAGATTAAATTAAATTTAAATTATAGCTTAATCATTACAAGCATGTGATGATTTCAAATCTTCATTGCGTCTTCTAATCTTCATCGTAAGAGCAGACAATATACGATTTACGTTTAATAAAATACTTAAGAATACAATAGTAATTCAAGCCTTTTCTACATCCATTAGTTTTTATTTTATTACTAATGAATTAAGTAATTTTTACGAAATAATGCATAATTTGCATTGCGAACAAACAAAATTTAAAATACTGCATTATACATGAAAAATAAAGAAAATATTCTAGAAAGTAACACCGAATAATCTCTCTTATCAATCGAAAAGCTTTGATAAACATGGATAGATTAAATAACAACTACGATGAAGATTGCACAATTTTCCATCGTCCTGGTAACCGCAATACAAAGAAAATGAAAAGCGTGATCGGAAAGTAAAAGAAATAGTCAAACAAAAAACGTAACTTACGTTCGTCGTAACGGAATAAACGATTGGGCAACGGTTACTGACCTTACAACTATCGTATACCAACTTAGCATATACGATGCATTAGTAAGAGGCAAAAGTCAATTAAATTAGGGCGGGAATACACGTGCTTATACCTGGTAGGCAAGAATTTCATTTTGCTATAGTTACGGGCTTGCAAGTTTATATAGATACGATTCTTGACACTGGCATGTCTCAATTCTTACGTTCTCGTGTACATTTTACTGTCATGTGTACGCATAGCACCAGTAACTGGCATCACACACGTCGATCTTTGTTTACTGGTCTGGCTGTGAGTATCGATTATTGATTATAGTATGTGTTAATATAGTGTCACTGCAATGGAATAAAGTGGCGTAAATCCTTTTTTAGCCAAACTGCAATATACTAAATACTAGTTTAGATCTACCCCAATAAGGAATAAACCTGATATCAAATATCGACACTACGCGTTTCTTCACATGAATGTGTAAAATAACCTGTCGTGACCTACTAGTCTTATACGGCGAATAGAGGTAAAAACGAAATGTCGATGTTTCGAACAACTATCCACTTTCGCTTTCAAAGACGAGTTTTCGTTATGATAATGTAGATTTATTTAAGACGTATTCGAAAGTTTCTACTAATCCATTGTTTTAGTGGGCTTTAAGCACATCTCTATTTAAAACAAGCAATTAAGTGAAAACAAATGCAATTTGTACAAATCTTGATTGCCCTAGTTCCAATTTTTATCAATGATTCCATTTAATCTTCCTATATTTGCAAAAAAAATATTTCATAAACATAGAGATAATTAAATTATTAGAAACAACGGATAGACCAACATCTATGAATATGCGTTCAACAATGCTACAAAAATCATTACTTATCTGTACTATTATCACTGGCTGATAATAAACAAAACATTGTCCTCGAAACAGACGAAAAAAAAATCATATGCAAGACCGCCAAAAGTGCCAGTCGCGCGCCGGCGCCAGCATCGATCGCGTCAATCGGCGCTTGTGCGCTAGTTTAAGGCTCCAATTTCTTCGATATTTGGACATGGCCCGTTTCGCTACTGAGCTTCCTTCCTGTGAATCATGAATTGAACGGAGACGCTTTCAGTCCGCCGCTGGGCACATGGCGCCGCGAGCGTCACACAAACGCTCACAAACTTCTGCGTTACGTATTAAATATATTTTTATCAGTTAAACGCCGGTTGTAGTTTTAAGTGCCAAGTTTACATGTCAATGCGGAGTATTATTTTTTTGAGTGTTTGTTATTTTTAAAACAATGGAATTGCAGTTGGTTTTATTAGCTTTTCCGTTTCTTTGGAAACGTAAGTATTCGATAAAATATTTTAATGCAATTACTAAATGGTATGAAGAGGAAACAATGTAGACAGAACATAAAGGAAGTTGTTAAGGACGCGCAATAGTTAATTATTTGACAATTTGTATTCTGAAACGTAGTTAAAACGGAGGCGAGAACTAGTCATCGACTATTTATTTACAAAAAAACATTGACACATTTCCATATTGATAACTACACACATTTTAATTTAGTGGTAATGTCAGTTTGGATAAGCGTATTTGCTTGAGAACAATTATTCGATAAATTAAATGTAAATAAATCGTTATTGTAATGCAGATACGTTCAATCGCGGAAACCCACAATGCGTACAAAATGTTCAAAAGACTGTAGCTTACACACAAAATGTTAAAAAAACTGTAACTCTTAAAGTGTTACACCTCCAGATTCCCTGATCGTACGTAAAAACAAATTCAAATTTAATCGCGGAAATATTTATATTATATGTCACATCAGGCTTGTCTTTTGTGTGGTCGTGGTATTGCATTGGCCGAGCGAGCCTGCTACTTCCGACTCTACCACTGTTACACTAATATTAACTAAATTCTAAATTTCAATATTATACGTAAATGTCGTAAGTATTCCATAAATAACATTCGCACACTTGATATCAAAAATGTCGTTAATAAAAAGAAAAAGAAATTGTGTCAACTGAAATAATCGCGTCACCCCTTCATAAGGAATGTTTTCGAGGAAGTTTTATAATGAGACATTGCAATTGTTTAAGCTCGCTACACACGACAGTTTCAACTGAACAGTTGGATTGATAACTTTAATTGGAAAATTAATTAAACATTGGACTAAAAAAATATATTCGAATAATAATGACAGTTTTAATTTATTAAAACTGAATTTCGTATTTATTTCTTTATTCATTTTCATACGTAAAGTGGTATAAATTAGTTGACCGCTGTTCAAATCCGGATGAGAAATCAATAATTTTCTAAGAAATACTCGTAAATTTATCTGAATATCGTTGATTCATCACGTGTGAATTCAAATGTCTTGGTCATCTTCGACATATCTTTTTGCATTCCTACTTATTTGAAAGAAGTTTCATTATATGATTTACGAAATACTTTTTCATCTTCATTCTAACAACATTTAACATATAATAAAATTGGAATGTCACTTTGTAACATGAAAAGAAAAAATCCAGATAACGGGAAGATGATGTATTTGCGTTGCATATCGTAAATCGCAATTAAAAAATTTTTATCTCTCCGCAAGCCGCGTTTGTTCCGGGTACCAATACGGTTGGGACGATTTCACTGAACGGTAGCTGACATAGACGGGCATATTACTATTTTATCTTAATATTGCGTGGACGAAGTCGCGGGCAATAGCTAATTTAAAATAATAATTCAGCCTGACTCTGAAATAACCTAAAAATATCTCCAAGTCCACAATTAGCTCTTAAGAAATATTGTTTTATAATTGCCAAAAACTGCGAGCATTAATTGGACATAGTCGTTAATTTGTGACTTCATTGGGTGTTAAAGAAGTTACACGAGACACATTAAGACTTCAATTTATCGATGTAAATACATAAAACAAAAAAAACTAACGCAAAACCATGGCAACCATCACCTTGTGTTTGTAACCCCAGTACGTTGTAAGAACGGCAATATTCTTGGGGTAAAACATTTTTCGACTGCCGCTAGTATTTGCATGTATAACAGGAAGATAATATTTTAATTATATGTTAGTCAATTAGACACCATAATTAGAATAAACTATCAATTTATATGAACATTTAATAACTAATGGTACCTAATTAACACATACCATTTTCCTGTTTTTATTACCAATGCAACAACAGAGAGTGTAATTTAATACAAAACGAACACTATCAATTCGTCAAACGACCACTAATGTTATTGTTTAACAAAACAAAATATTTCCGTTGATTAATAGAAATGCAATATTTCAAAGTCGTTCCTATTTCACCTTTACTTCTGAATTTAATATTATAAGGAGGATATAAATTGTATATTTATATGTAAGTAACAGACTCAAAAAGTACTAGAATGACAGAAAGATTCTTACAAGTATTCACAAACTTCCAAAAAAATATGACTATCAAGATAAGGATTAATTAGGAATATAGACACACTAAAAAAAAACCCGAGCTTATGTTATTCGCATTAATTCGCAAATTAATAAAACAAACAAAAAGTAAATAAAACACTCGATTTTTGTAACAATTGGGCAATACGTTACAATATTTCATAGACGAAAACAAAAACATTTAAAATAGGCTGCACTGGATTAGAATATAAATATTGTGGTTTGTGTTCCGAGAGAGTAAGCAAACTCTAAAACCATTAACAATAACAAAGTTACCTATCCATTAAAAATTTATCGAGTTTATTAACTACATGCATGCCTGTAGATAATTTAAAAAACGAGTTATCTAATAAAACACAGAGAGAGAGCATTAACCACCCAGTAGATAAATGAGCAATTTCTAAATGTAATAAATAAGTCCGGTGGATAGACGGCATAAATCGAGATGCGAAAAACGTTGGTATAGCAAACTGGAGGACCGTGGCCAGAGATAGGCCGAAATGAAAGAAATTGCTGGCCCACAAAGGGCTGTAGAGCTATAGAAGAAGAATAAATAAGTCGAGTTTCAATCTTGATAAAGCATAAACACACACTATTTTGCGGCGTAAGATGTCAGCAATCACAGCATATTCTTTCTTTAATAAAAAGCCCTACACTTCGGCATGCTTTAGGCTATATAATTTCACGCTATTAAACTCAGGGGATAAATTAATTGAAAATAAAATGTGGAAAAGGGACCACAAAATATAAGCTGCCAACATTAAGGAACAAGGTAGCCATGGTTTGTCATTTTACATTTTCAATGAATAATTTGACAAATGTAAATAATAAAATAATGATTTCATAACCTTATGCGGATGAAGTCGCATGGGAACAGCTAGTTAATAATAAGATCTATCACGTCGTTAAGGACACAAAGTATACCCTCAGTAACCAAATAATGATTCTTAGTGCAGTCAAGAGTTCGCTTATTATAACACTTTGATGGATATAAACAACAATATATTTTCTGTAATCAAACTTGTTCATCATCATTGTTATATTTATTACTAGCTATCGACCGCGGATCTGTACGCGCTGATTTGAAAAATAAGACACATACAAAAAAATTAAAAAAAACATACAGACGAATTGAGTACCTCCTTATTTTGGGAAGTCGGTCAAAAAATAACTAAGTAGCCTACATGTTCTTCCATACTATGCTCTACATCTATGACGCATAGAGATCCGTTCAGCAGTTTAGATTATACTCTATAACAAATAACTATCTAAACTTAAAAGCTTTCGCATTTTATTTGCAAGAAGTAGAATATAATAACATCTTATTTTGTCACTAAATTTTAAAGTCGACATCTAAATATTTACAACTTATATTAACTTGCACCACCACTTCGATGTTTTATTTCATTAATATTCAAAGCGTCCTTGCGACAAATGCTCAAGCATGTTCTAATATAAAAATGTACGCGTATGATCTCCCACACACATCCGTCCGCGCTTATGGCCTCATTATAGCTACATAGTAATACCGGACCATTTCTATGGATTCTTTGTTCGCAATCGCCATACATTCATCTGCAGATGCGCATCCCAATATGCCTATTGAATACCAAACATAATAGTCACAAACACAATCTACATAAAATACCAAATAGTTAACCATTTTTGTGTCTTACTGATCTTACTAATATTATAAATGCGAAAGTTTAGATAGATGGATGTTTGTTAGAGTTAGCCTAAACTGCTGAACGAATCTCGATGTAATTTGGCATAAACGTAGAGGATAGTCTGGAAGAATACATATTCTAATTACTTTTGTTTTTTTTTTAAATTGTACACGAACGAAGTCGCGAGTGTAAGCTAGTAACTAACAATGAAAGCACAGTTTTACATAAACATTTTAATATAATTAATAGGAAAAAGTAATTGCTTATTGGGGAAATCAATACTTAACGAACATGATATAGAGAAATTCACCATTGCCATGCTTAGTTGGTTTCTGTTGGAGTCATTACCTTTCGTTTGAAAAGTACTGATTTATTGCTACAATATTCACAGTATCATCAAGCCTGCAATGCTACAAATGCGACCCGGAGCGGTTGTACAAAAACGACGCAGTGCTGTGCGAGAGATTCGATAGCAGTTCTAACTACGTGGTCAAGTGTGAACACTCTTCTATGTGCTACAAGAGGGTTACCACATTGGACTTGGGGAATGGAGGTAAGAGATATACTTTAATATAAACATTTAATTAAGTAAAGCAAATTGTCATCAATCATCAATTCACAAAAAAAACGTCATCAATTGATCGAGGGGATACGTCGAATAGTGGATAAGTAGAGATTGAATTATCTACTAATATTATAAATGCAAAACTTTTATCGTTTTTTTATTTATGGATGTTTATTAGAGTATGTAACCTAAACTGCTGAACGAATTTCAATGAAATTAGCTATAGATGTAGAGGATAGTCTGGAGGAACACATAGGCTTTTTTGTTTGATTCCTCGCGGACGGTGTCGCGGACGAAAGCTAGTATGGCTATAATCATAGATTGAAGCTTTCTAAAACAAATCCACAGATAGACATTAACGCGTGTAAATGTAATATATTAATTCTATTTATTTTAACCGTGCACTAATGTGTTGACAAATAATATCGGGCTCATATAAAAGAGATTAACAGTATCGGAGCCTTTGCAGTTAACGCGATCGTTAAGACGGCGCCGTTTATAAATAAATGTGACTAAGCAAATTAAAGTTTGTTCACACACAGGATGTTAACCACTAGTTGAAATGTTAAAACGAGAAAGTAAAGCACAAAGTAATTAGAGTTACTCGTTATAAAATATACAGTTTAAAATATGAAAATGTTCACATTATTAATGTATAATACGTGGCGATTATTAAATTTGGACAGCGTATTATTCTATTGTTAAATATTAAACAATAAAACAAACTGTATTTGATTAAAGCTTGCGAATTAAGGTGGTTCAACTTTAAGTATAAGTAACTTAATAAATAAAACAATCATCATCATTACCAGCTCACTGTACGTCCCCACCGAGTGGCTCGGAGCCTACCCAAAAGTTAGGACTAGGCCATAGTCAACCACGCTGGACAAGTGCGGGTCGGTTGACTTCACACATATCTTTGAATTTCTTCGCAGATATGTGCAGGTTGCATCACGATGCTTTCTTTCACCGTAAGAACGTCGGGTAAATTATGTACATATGAAAATTCGAAAATCACATTGGTAGGGCGGGATTCGAACCCAAGACCTGTAGATTACAAGTCAAGTGCTTAAACCACTGAGCCACCGACGCTCTAATAAAACAATATTGATTTCCAAGTTTGTTAACTACTTCAATGCTGTTATGTTTTTCAAGTATTTTAATGAGCAGGGCAAGTCAGACCATCATGCCAACTGTAGGTTAGTTACGATATAAATCATGGAACGGTTTACGTCTCCTCTACTAGTGTTTCATACTGTTAATTTATTAGACACGAAGTATTAGCGTCAGGGGTTGTTTAATTGATTAACTAACTTTCAGTAATAAACGAATGAGGTCATTTCGTAAGATAGAAACCTGAACTACAAACGAACGTATTTAACTACAAAATATTACGAACACTATTTGAAAATTGGTTAACTTGGGTATAAATCTAAGGAATACTGTAATAAAATGTTGTCTTTCACTCTAAAAAATAAAGTTATTTATTGTCGATTTCCCACCTACATTTAATCATCCGTTAGTGTTCTTAATTCGATAACTTCATTAAATGTGTTTCCGAATTACGTTAAGTATTTTTTATTTCGTTATAACTTAGGTCAACTTTACACTAATGTATAACTAGGTAATAATAAAATGAACGGTTACTTCAGAAAATCACAGATTATAAAAAACGCTGTATCCCAAGCGTATATTAAGCGATCACCTACAAAAAAAGTTAATTAAAAACAATAAAATATACATTTGTTTATTTCTAGTGACTACGAGTACAACAGTGCGTGGTTGTGCCGCACAAACGATGAGTGGGGATCAAGCGAAGATAGATGGCAAGTGGCGTCCCGTTAACACGATATACGACGTCTACGACGAGGGCTGTTCTTACGACCCCACCGACATCGAACGCACAACCAAATCTTTGTACTGTTACTGTCGTGGCGACTTGTGTAATGGTGTAGGGAAATATCAAGCGAATTTGTATATAACGTTAATAGTTATCATTGCTTTATTTATAAGTTAATACTGTGATAACTTTAGGTTACTTAAATTAAAGTCAAATGTATAATTTAACAAATTCACTGCCATTTGTTCACTTAAAGAAGTTGTGGCAGTGAAAGTGTTAAAATACGCTTTTATATGCATATAATGCAATGGAATGTAATTAATACTCGTAAGTACCAAAGTAAATAAGGAAATATAAGCGAAGTAAGCATGAACCTTCTAACAGTGAAACATTCCATACTGTAAGTCCATTTGACGAGACGAGAAAATAAATTAAATTAGGCCATTATCAGTGTTAATACTGCACACTTGCATTACCACATATTGTGGTCTCTATTTTCTCAATAAGAATGAAAGGGATGACTATATGCAATAATACTAGGATCACAACAATGAAGTTCTACTGTAATAGATAACAGGGGCTTGAGTTGGCACATCATGCTGAGGAGTACTATTGTTTCCTACGTGCCAACTTATACTATTTACATTTTTATCACAAATTTTGCTTTAACAAAATATACGTAATAATTATTTTATCATAAACTTTAATGTTTACAGTCAAACCAAACATTTTATTGTAATATGTAAAATCTGATATCTTTTAAATGTAAAATAAATACATATTAAATTATGGATTGAATTAAATTTTTCAATATAGTATTAAAGCTAAAAAAATATTGTTTGTTACCTAAATTAACCTAAAAACTACTAAATGGATTTTTAAATTGTAGTCTATTTCATTGTTTTTCTCCCAATAAGAGATAGACTGGCCTAAAATCTATAAATATAACATCTCTACCTCATGTAGAGTTGACCTAAAAACTATAAACTAAATGAAGTAACTATCAAGCCATATAAAACGCAGAACTAGATTCCAATATGTCTATAACAAGCTGGAATAGACCGTGTAATATACTAATGTGGAAACCTGCCTCTACCAATTTTATATATGACTAATTGTTGCTCGCGACGCCGCCCGCGTGTGATAACAATTATAGCCTATGTTACTCACAGATAAATTACCTTTGTAATGGTGAAAGAATTTTTAGAATCGGCTCGGTAGTTTTTAAGTTATTTAAATACAAATCTTTCCTCTTTATAATATTAGTATAGATGTACATAAAATTACTTTTTCATAATATAAGGGCTTTTTAATATGAATATTTTGGCTTAGAAGTGAAAATAAAGAAATATTGGCTTATGAATTGAATCTTATTTTTGTTATTCTTAAATTATAAGTTTTAAATATTTAACAATAATCGTTAATTGGCTTATAATTTATTTGTTATTAATTTAAAAGAAATCATACTAATATTATAAATGTGAAAGTTTAGACGGTTGGATGTTTGTTAGAGTTTGTAGCCTAAACTACTGAACGGATCTCGATGAAATTTTTGCATAGACGTAGTGGACATTCTGGAAGAACACATAAGCTACTCACTTTTTTTTAAATTCCACGCGGACGGAGTCGCAGGCGTAAAGCCGTAAATTATAAATTTTCGAATACTTAAAAAAAAACATACAGACGAATTGAGTACCTCCTTCTTTTGGGAAGTCGGTCAAAAAATTATAAAATCTATCTTCGATCAATCGATTAATAAATCAAAAAAGGAGTTGACGACTTCTGGCTTAATATAAGCACAGATGTTGTCTAGACTAGGCCTAACATGTGTTATGAATACGTGTGCAAAAATCAAAAATAAACCGCCACACTAAAAATTGTTAAGTGTCACTAAGGAAGACCGTTAATTTAGATTTACTACGATGAATCTACACTAAGCTTACGTTTAACTCTGAGTGTGGCAGTAAATCAAACATAGCCAATGTACTTCAACAGAAAGGATATATGAATCATATTTAACTAATGGAAGTATAAAAGACATATTTGTATTCAACAAGACATCTCTACATCCGTATTAAAAACGCAAAATGTCTATTAATGTACTACCCATAACTCTCTGGTACTATCACTAAGTCACCGAACGTTTGTGAACTTCGACAGTTTATTACCTTACCAAGTTTATTAAACGTTGGAAAAAAATAATTGCATGCACCATTCACAACTTTTGATGGCATTTTTGGACAAAAAAATAAACCATCAATTTTTTTTCGGTGCGATGGTAAAAATAGAAGTAATTTCATAAAATAACATTTGAAATGATATGCCTAGTGTTTTTATATTATGACGGAGTTTACAATCGGACGATGTATAAGTCACTTTCTATCAGAATTCGATTCACGTGTAGACGGACCGGAATTTAACAAGGGCGGCATTCTTTACAGTTTTGTTGTGACGTCAGCTATTGTTTGACTCCCGGTTTCGGTCGAGAGATATTCACGTCCTTGACGACCAACAAACTTGAAGCGGTTAATAAAAAACTAAAGCAATCTTCCACTTGGTTACAAAACTGATATAAAGCAGTATTTTCTTGGTATATTTCCGACCAACTCAATCTCGTTTTACGAAATAAACAGTTAGTTATATAAAATTTAAGAAACCTTCTTTAATGTAATAAAAAAAATATTGTACATTATTAAATAATGTCCGTATATTATATCATGAATAACATAATTTTAAATAAAATATGCATATAAAAAATAAATATGACATTTGTCGATATGACAACATATTTGAGAATAACGCCATCTATGCAAAAAAAATTAAAACTTCAATTCTTCAATTTACAATGAATACATCCTCACCATAGCTTAAATTTAGACAATTTCAATTATAACACAACAAATGAAGCAAGCTTTTACACAATAGCTTTAATATAATAGAAGTACTCACATTAGCATGGTTCTCTACGAGGCAGAGGAAGACCACATCCTCTCGCAGCAGTCGCACGGCGCCGTGCAGCGGCTGCGGGGTCTTGCTCTTTAACATGCGGTACAGCAACGCGGATGACATGTGCGCGAAATCATCCCCTAAACAATTAGATACAAATAAATAAAAACTGCATACTAGATTTTTATATCATAAGATGGCAAATAAGCAAGCGGCTACAAGATTTCGAACACTGGCCATAGACATCTCCAATATCAGATTGAACCTTTATTCTCCAGATGCATTGGAATATCTTTTTTCTGTACATATCCACTCTACTAAAAAATTTCCATTCCCACAATTTCCTTATAAGAAAAAGGTGGGAAGGGAGAGACTAAAATTGAAACACAGAGAGAAACATGGAATTGCTTCTATCTTCATGCATGTCTTCTTTATGGTTATGGAATTATTGGATAGGGCAATCCCCTCCTTTCATGTAATTTATGTTTGTGTTGCTACTCTATACTTTTTATTGACTTTTGAGAATGACGATTCAAGAGTAGAACTGCATTTATTATACTAATTTGGTTATAATACTAGTATGAAGAATTATCAAACCTGTAAGATCATCCCAATGTGTAGAGATAAGTCCAGAACAATGTTCCTTTAGAGCTGTCGCACCAATCTCATCTGCAGCCGAGTAGAACTTTACGCAGGTCCTTTATTAGAAAGAAGGAAAAAATCATTAAAACGACATAATTAAAATAAAATGACTTGTTTAATTAACAGCTTTTTTATTAAACTTATTAATATTTGGAATTAGAAGAGTGAACAAGACATTTAAATAATTTTAAAACAATTTAAATATCCCATAATATTAACTTTCATAACAAATTCTTTACACCCTGTAGATAAAAGTATTATTATTCATAATGATAACAATATAAGCCTACCTCACACCCACTGAAGTGATAAGGGCTTGTTCACACTTGCCCACTAGACCATACAGCTTGAAGTTAGCCGCACACTTCATAAGGTGCAACGCAAATGCATCCCCTCTAGTGAGGTCCACAACATCTGTGTACAGCCATTTTAGGAGTGCTGAACCCACATCATCGGGAAGATTGGACCAATCTGAAAAAAAAAAAACAATTAAAAGTTCAACAAGGGTACTAAATGATAGAGAAATTCAAATAATTTATTTGTCAAATAGTAAAGAAAAAGGAAAAATATACAATTCCAACTCAGTACACTGAAAGTATCAATGGGAATCAGTCTATAAGTTTATTAGGATATAGAAAGACTTATGGCCACATACTGTTACAACATTTAATTATGTAGTGTCCACATTCCATTACAATCTTTACATCTGTTACTGTAAGCGGCACTTGTAAGACGAAGTATTTATGATTCGTTTTAGTCACTAATCACTACATTAAATCATGGAGGGGTTTATCTTGAATTCTGTACTTTCTAATGCAAATATGTAACTTTATGTTAATTCAATTTAGTTCACAGTGTACTTTAGTTACTTTATAAATAAATAAATAAAAGTTGGTATATGTTTCAATGAAGATGTAAAAGGAAATATAACTTTTTGTATCTATTCTACTTACCCAATTCTGTGAGATTCTTAAGTGCAGCTTCATTCCAATCATCAGATCGTGCATTCAAGACAAACTTATGTCCAGGAACAGACTTGCTCTGTAGCTTAATACTTATATCAGAATACGTCTCTCTGCCGTATAAAGTGGACACGGTCATAAGTAACCGGGCTACGAAACTAGTTTCACTAAGATCGCCGGCGGATGCTGCCGCGAGCGTATACTTCCTTTCAACTTCAGCACAATGACTCTGTAGCTTACTGTACTCCTCTTTAAGCAACGCTAAATGCTGCTGAAGCTTTGTCACTTCACTGGATGCTAAATGATAACAAATAAAATTAAATACACAAGATCAACACCGCCCACCGATTGTATTCGATGTTATTTAGACTTTGAAATACTTACCCATCTTGAGAACGTAAGATCATATACCGTACAATTGAATTGTTTACTATTTTAAATCACTTCGTAAATTGAATATAATAAATTGGCTAATACAATAAACTGAAATTGTCAATTTCATAGAAGACACATATTTGACAAGCTGTCATAGACAGTGAAATTGTTGTGCTTGAATATGTCACATTTGTCAAATTCAGATTACATTAACAAATTTGGCGAAACCGATAGTTTTTCAAAAAACAATAAAGTGGTATAATAGAGCCTAAGCTAAGATGAGGTCTTAGTACAATTTAGAGGAAGTATTTTTTCGAAAAACAATCCTCAGAGCATTGAATACGTTAGACTTTATCAATTGTCATGTCAAACATGTTATCAATGCTTGAGGCCAACTTCGATAGATGTCGCTTTTTTACCGAAATCTATTTTCAAGATAACCTTCAAGTGATTTTGTCAAATGAATTGATAACAAGCAAGTATCAGCCGCCTCGTAACAATTGGTTGTTAAAACTTATTCATTCTATTTATTCGACCTATTATTATAATCAAAATGAAGTCTATAAACAAAATTATAAATATTTGTTCGACTCTTCCAAAAAATACAAGGTAAACAAGTTTCTTATACATTGTTATTTATTTGTGATGGCCCAAATTTAAATTTGGAATGCTTAATTTAATGTTATTTTAAGGTTGATTTCGACAACAAGTAGTAATTTAAACGCCGATGATGGGTGGTTTTCGAAGTTGCTGGTACGAAGGATAGAACCGACTAAAGAATCACACAGTCGTATGCTTAGCGACAAGGAGATTGTATACGCACTCCATACTCATAATATCCGACCCGACTCCGTCGATAAATACTTGAAAAATTAGTAAGTATAACGTAAATGCATTACAGGTCAAAGTCGGCGGCAAACTCTCGCCGGAATGTTTGTGATTATGCAACAATCTCGAAATAGAACAAACATTAGCATTTTGAATTAGCTGTAAAACATTGTTGCAACGACTACTTAAAAAGCAGGGAACATTTACTACAGTATAAGCTAATTCTTAGATTCTGTTGTAACTTAGGAAACCAGTATAAATAAAAAAAAAAAACAAACCGAATTTTAAATTAAGAACTCTTTCTTTAACAAAAGTACATAAATGGACATTGGCCTTTCACATTATGCAGTCTTCTTAATAAGTAGAATTTATTGTTTTTGTTTTGCAGTAAAACATCAGTAGCATTTGTGGAATCAAGGAAAGCGGATCTTGGCTGTGAGCTTGTTGGATCATGGACTGTGTCAGTTGGAGATATGGATCAAGCATTGCATCTATGGCGTTACGTCGGTGGTTTCGAGAAAATAGACAAGGCTAAGATTTTATTTAAAGAAAATGCAGTAAGTTTGTGTAAATAATATTAAAGCACTTAAAAATCAACTATGTTAGTTGTTACAAATTGAAGACATAGAAGTTATATCATACTAGCTTTCGCCCGCAACTCCTTCAGAGTGGAATTAATAAAAAAAAGTAAGTTGCCTATGTGTTCTTCTAGACTATCCTCTACATCTACACCAAATTTCATTTTGATCCTTTCAGTAGTTTAGACTACAAACTCTAACAAACATCCATCTATTTATCAAACTTTCACATTTATAATAATAGTAAGATGAGGTGAAATATTTTCCAACTCATAAATGTCTCTATTTAAAAGTATAATTTCTATACATCATAGATTAAAATTGTATAAATGGTTTTGTTATTGCAATAAATAAACTCATCATGAAATAACACTTTTTACAATAAATTACTGCCAATACTATGGTAATAGTCAAAGGTTAACCATAATTTTGTCTAAAATAAATAAATGTTATCAGTCATCATGTAACAATAATGAAATATGATAAGATAACAATACTAATAAATATTGCTAAAGTTGAGATAGTGTTTTATGAGTTTATATTGTAAATAAAGACCATAGTGTATTGGTTAAATTAATTCTGTATTTGGGTTTGATTCTTGTAAAATCTGCCAGTACCACATAAAGTTGTCTATACCAAGATGTCTTATTAGAGAGGCATTAATTATTTTTGAAATTCTACAACTAGCATGTTTTAAAAATCCTTTGAAATAATAGTTTATTTTATTTATTGTAATTTTGTGTTCAGGATTATCGTGCACTGGAGAAGGAGCGCGGCAACTTTGTGCGTTCTCGGCACTTGCAGTACTTGCTTGCATTTAGTTTTTGGCCAAATGGTGAACCGAGGCAGCCTAACAACATCTATGAGATCAGATCATACAGGTAACTGAGTTGGCTCATTGACCAGTATAATATACTTAATCTTTGTGTGCCAAATCAGTGCTGTATACAAACAATTTCATAAAAATATAACTCAAGCCCAATACCCAGAGGGGTAAACAGATCTTCATTTGGGGCGGTTAACACCATTTCATCTGCAGTTTTTTTTTATCTTTTCTCTTGGATAAATTCACCAGTCAAGTCCCCTGAAATGTATAAAAGATTCCTACATTTTTCTTATAGACCCTTTTGAAATTTTATTGGTATCAGAAGGACATTATTATTAAATTGTGAATCCTTCACTATTTTCACTATCATATGTCTCCGCCGAGTCTATCATAGACACTAGACTCTGGAATAAATTGATTTATGAAGAAAGTTTTGTTACAGTTTGAAGCCGGGCACAATGATAGAGTGGGGCAACAACTGGGCTCGCGGGCTGACGTACCGCCGCTCGCAGAACGAGGCCTTCGCCGGATACTTCTCGCAGATCGGACGACTCTACAATGTTCATCATATTTGGTGTAAGTGACTCAATGTGATATTTTTACCTCACAGAGAAATATTTTTTTTTTCTAAATTGCCATACTCAGAATTGCAATATACTAAGAGACAGTTCAAGAGAATTTAATGTACACAATCGAGAACATTTATTTCCTATGCAATTCGGTAAGATATTAGGTCTAAAACTTATTATATTTGCCGTCCGCGCGTTTGCCCCTTTATTATAAAAAAAAATATTGACAAATGTGTATTAAATTACCATTCTTAGAGCGGTCGCACACCTATGATTAAACTATCACAGAACAGTTGTGCGATTGTAGATTGTTTTGCAGCCAATTCAACTGTTTAGTTACACAACTAAAAATCGAGTGGTACACCTCCATATGAGCTTATAGCAAATTAAGACTAAACAGTTGTGCGATAGTTCAGTCAATGGTGTTTGCGCGCATTTATATTGACTTTTCTTTACATGACATCCTAATATCCATATATCATGTTTGCAGGTTATAAGGATTTGCAAGCCCGACGTGAGACTCGTGAGAGTACATGGCGCAACCCGGGCTGGGATGAATGTGTCGCCTACACCGTGCCTCTCATACGGGAGATGCATTGCCGCATCCTCGAGCCCACGGAGTTCTCTCCCACGCAGTAAACCACCAATGTAACAGTTGGATATTAACCCTTTGCATACATATCTTAAATGTGATAATTGGTATTGCAACCTTAGACCGAAGCGGACTGAAGTTTTGATATAGAGGTATTTTATTTACATTTTACAAAATTCTTGTATTATTTTCTATTTTATTTCATCTAATAGTATTTAAATTACTCAAAAATTTACAATTATGTTCTAGATATCTGTGTAGTCATTTAACATCGGAAAAACTGATTTTTTCAATACAAATAGAAGCAATGTCTGCAGTAACATTTTATTGTTTGCAAAGGGTTAATAATCACAACTATTACTATATCTATTTGAAAGTCACATTGATTATTGAAAAAGTCCAATGTCCGTGAAGATTAATTGAAGCCAATAACGATTTCACGTTGTTACAAATGTATCTAGAAATAGTCGAGTAAATAAAATACAAAGCAAGTGCCTAGATTTAGTGTTCTAGAACTACCGTCCTGTTGACTACATGACTAAAATTATATTAAAAATCTTATACTAAAGGTACATATGTAATTCTTCTTCAATTACTATTTTTACTTGTTTCAGCTATATTTTTAATGTATTAAAAATAATAGTGGAAATTTAATCGTTTGTGTCTGATAAATGACTTGAAAATTAAGTTACCCCTGTAATCTTTAGTTTTATATTGACTCCTAAGCAACAGCAGATCCAGGGGGGGTCATGACATCATGACCCCCCCTAAGCTGATTGGACAGGAGCTTGAGAAAATGTATTTACATATTTTGTCAAGCTCTTGACCGCGACTGTGGACCCCCCCCCCACCCCTGACGCCAAAGCTAGCTCCGCCCTTGCTCCTAAGTTAATCTGTGTTGAAATCAGTAAATGTAGACCATAATCATCACAACAATACGTATTCTCAATTATTTGTCTAAATAACTAGTGAAATCGTTACTGGTGTTGCATAGTATTGCTAAAAATGTCAAAAACTGTCAATATGGCGTCTAATGTACAAAACTAACAAAGGTGCATTTTATAACATCATAGTTTGTGTTTTTAAATTTCGTTCTATTTGTTTATTGAGCAATCATGCAGCTCTTAGAATATTAGCAATTTCAATTTAGATCCATTTAAATTTCTTTTTAGCATTTAAGTATAATGAAATTTATAATGTATTTAAAATATATGAAAGAAAACTAACCGGTATATATTTTATATTCTTATTTAGCGCATGCTATGTAGTTATTAAGATGATCGTTTAAATATTAACTATATGTTATTTTTTGTACGAACTATTTGCGAATCATTATCATGTTCTGTTGAAATAAGTAGATTTTTCAAACAGTTAATATCGGTGTTTCATTTTATACTAATATATAGCGGAAAGATTTATATTTTTGGACATTTAGTATTTAAATAACTCAAAAAATGGGCCGATTTCAAAAACTCACCATTAAAAAGCTACGTTTTCCCTGAGTAACATATGGCTATGTTTTTAACTATTGTTTAATTTCACATGGACAAAGTCACAAGCAAGAGCTAGTTTCCTATAAACTAATGGAATGTTAAAATAATTACACGTCAATGTTTCCTTTCTATTTATTTATTTCTCCAGTTTGATTCTTTTCATTAATAAGATTATATTACAATATAATAATTAAAGGTAATAATTATTAAAACTACCAAGTCGTTTGTGTTATTTAAATATATAACAAAAAAAATAAAAAGAAAACAACAACGGTGCCGTGTTGCGTCTTCCCTCCTCAAACACAGACCGCACGCTCTCTATACAATGGTAAAATATAAAAATTATTTTTAGTTACAATGTACAATACGTGACCGTTAACTACAAGTTTGGTACTTCTATAGTAAACATACATTACGACCCATTACGAAAAGAGTTACATCTCTTAAAGTATACATAAGAGATAAAACTGTCTTCACTGGATACGAGTCGATTTGAAGTGCCGGTTACTAATGAATTAATACTAAGAGCGAGTGGTGGGAAACTGGAACATGAAATGTCTATTGATAGACAAGTGTCGACCCATCCGAAGAAAAGAGTTACATCTTTTCCATAGACAAAATGTAACCTTTTTCGTCAGTTGAATAGATTGGTTCTATCATTATTTTCTACCTTACACTCGGTTCATTCGCCACTAAATCTGTTTACTCGTAGTTTCTACAACATAAACACTTCAGACATATTTATCTTAGTTTACTCTACTAATGTCTATAAATGGATAGGTTTGCTTAGAAATGGCAGCTGTCGAAATACTTTATTCTATCACTATTGTTAGTTGGCGACACTTCCTCACCATCGCTACCAACAACTAACGCTAGCGCCAAAAGGGCGAAAATCAAATAAGCACAAAATACAACGGCTTATAGCCAGTCCATTTATAGAGATCAGTGGTTTACCAAGACAATGACAATATGTTAGTGTTTCCGCAGTAGAAAGACAGTTACAATACAGCATTCATACATTACAAATTTAGACTAAACAAAGCCATTATTAGCAAATTACGGAGCATATAGTAACCAAACCATTATTTTTGAAAATCTAGGACTATTGTGAGAACTTTTACCATATGTAAAAACAGAAGACTACTACCGGCTTTAGAGTGGGGCGCGGTTAGGCATCCGCCCAGGGCGCTGGACAAAAAGGGGCGACATAGGCCTAAATACAGTATCTTGTATTTTTGTTACCTTCCCCCTAGACATGGTAAGAAAGGGGCTACGCTGGAATCACTGTCAAAAAAACAAATGGACCTCTATAGAACTGACAATTTATTTTCATATATGCTCCGTAAATTGTAGGTGTATTGGAGCAGCGTTCAGTACCGACCTCCGCAAGCTATAGTACAGCGCACACTTCAATTCCATAGTGCTGGAACACCAAACAAAGCACTCGGTGGATTTTCTCTGCAAAAATGCCGTTAAATTTCTTCACTTACACGAGACTGAAAACATCTCTAGAAAGATGTGAAAGATTACAAAAAAGCCTCAATAGACTAACCAACAATATAAAAATCCTAACCTGTACACAAAATTAGTTCCATTATTTTCCGCAATATGGCGAGGGTGTTTATATTTCTGGTCAGACTAAAAGTTCAAGGTCGATAGCTTGGTTCTAGCGTGAATAACTATCTATATAAACTTTAACTGCAGGTTTACATCTAACCAATTTGTTCAAGTAACTGTTGTCAAATAACTCTTATGTATATTTTGCTGTCATAGATCGTCAGGCCCGCCATCTACCATCTGTTAACATACGGCCAAAGTCAAACCGTAAAGTTTATTGTCAAATTTTGGTCAGTCGAAGGCAGGACAGGCTGATTCGATCTAATAAACAACATAGAAAAAAAAAACATTTTCGCGTCATTTCTCTTTGGCCCTCATTCACCCGAACGGTTTTTCAAACGAGATTTATACAGCGTTGTAGAACAAATGCTTTTTAGGTATCTCAATATGTCAGCGATTTTAAAATGCGCCGCTTATCGCGAAATATATTCTAAAGCGTTTATGTAAAAAAGAGCGTTAACAAAACGTCCATGTGAATGAGGACTTATTACCATAAAATTCCACTGCCGCACACACGTACATATTGTTGTCTCGGTTTTTGTAACGTGATAAAGAGAGTTGGCTACGTTTATATAAATGTATCTGCAGTGGAATCTCGGTTACACCAATAATGGTACAGTCGGACCGACGCCTGAAGCGAACATCACTCCACCTCTAATAAAAAAACCTCGTTAAATTTTTTGTCAACATTTTTATATAATTTTACATCTAAATTAGCTTAGGTGACAAAATTTTAAAATACTTACACATTAAACCACTAACAGACTCAAATAATACAAAAAAAAAACTATCACATCATGTGATGCTTATAGTGTGATATAGGAAGAGTACGGTTAATAAAAAAAATATTAATTATTCTTTTTTTAATAATAGCATTAACTAAATTTGGATATTTATGACTAAAATCGGCGTTAAATTAAATAATATGCAATCGTCTATACATATATGACTGGTAAGCTTAGTAGACCATACGATAGTGTATTACAAGACTAAATAAAGAGAGTAGCAAACACACGCGCTCGCAGCTCACCAAACAAACAAACAAACAAACAATGTTAATTACATCAGCGTATGTACAGGCGGCAGCGCGCGCCTCGCTCATACCTAACATATATAATTTATTATATTTACAAAACATAATAGGCAGTCGAGTTATAAAATATTACAGCACCTGATTCTTGTAAGATTTAATAAAGCGTGTTAGTCGTTTATATAAAAAAGATGGCCGCCGACGCTCGAGTCGAGTCGCGAGCGTCGCGTCCTTACAAATTATACCAACATTCAACAGACGAACGCAACTAGGCCAATAAACAAACAGCGTCAGTCCGCCGGCGCCGGTTACACAAACTTATAATAAAATTGTTCCTAAAATAAACTAATGATATGAATATTAGAATTTTGACTATCTAAATTATGTTAAACGATAGCGTAGGTGAGTGCGGCGAGACGCGCGCGGGAGTCGCTAGTTTCACACGAGGGCGGAACTGAAGCAGTGCAGTACACAATACGGTACTGCCAGTGTAAAAAAAAATTGTCGATCACACGAATACTTTCTCGCAGATTTGCTAGGCCTCAGTAGTATTTTGACATTATTGTACTGTACTGCTGAGTCACAGTTCCCCGTGTGCAACTAGCTTTAGTAATGCCCTGCGTAGCGTGCAGTGTACAGTCAGCTGCACAAATATTGATATACATGTACAATACTTTAAAAACCTATATTGGATTACAATTTCAAATATATTACATGTATTCGTCAATAGCATGTTTCATGATCGGAAGCTTATTCGGATTGGTACAATCATATTGTTGAAATAAAAAGCCAAAACAAATTTCTGAGGTTTTGTAAATGTATAGATATTTTGTATAGCTGACTGTACAATGTGGACAGTCGCGAGGTTATAATAGACTTACTGTAAACTACATTATAATACAAGAATAGATCAAGAGTACTACATGCTTTAGGTTTAAACAGCGCCTACTGCAACACGCAACGTCGAAAATCATAAAGGTTTAGTAACAAATTATTTGGTATTCTTTCATTTTTCAAGTATATAATATTTTAAATATTAACCTTTGCAAAATTGATTTAATTAAACAGGCAATAACTTATTATCACATGTATAAAAAATTCGTATAATAATCATTTCGTCTCGCTCTAGACCGGATCAAAATTATCTGCCCACCTTTAGTGTTGAAGATCAAAATTTTACTATTACTGGTTTATTTAAACTTTTGTACAGAAAATAATAATAAGAGACTATCTCAATATGTATTTTAGTAATTCCGTTACGAATATCGACGTTGCGGATCGCGCGCTTAAAAATCCTAATAAAAACATTACAACACCACGTGTCATACAAACATTCTGTGTGCAAAATAAACTTATCCAAGCATTATAAAGCTATAATGTTTGTAAACTCAACTACAAACACACTTATTCATCATTAAGATAATTGGAGTGCATAACTTTAGTATAGGAAACCCCTCCCTTTGAATACTGACATTTTTGCATACATTTTGGAAGACAACGAAAAAAAAAGCCTAAGTAATATTGTGATAAAGCGATTTGGGAGGGCCGCAGTCTAATTATTGCCATAAGCCTCCTAACCACGACACACAAGCCATTGGAAATAACAATTAAGTTCATATTAGACTTGACGCAAAATTATGCAAAAGTATAAAAATTTACGTGACATTTAACGTCACTTGCATCAAAGTCTAATTCGATCACAAAACCATACTCAGTCGTTTTATTAAATTTAGTGAAAGAATATCACATTAAGGCCCTTCGTACACGAAGCGATGTAAATTTACGAAACCTGCGTTAGTCGAGCACCAAGCAAATTAATAACTAAAATACCTTCGTCTAAATAGCTAATGTTGAGTTCCTAAATTACTTGCTACTCGACTAAAAACTAGCCTAGTAAGAACTAGGCATAAGCGACTTAGAGCGCGTACACCTTTGACTAAACTATCGCACAACTGTTTAGTCTCTGATTCCTATGAGCTTGTATGTAGGTGCGTACACTACGCGATTTTCAGTTGAGCAACTAAACAGTTGAGGCTGCGAAACTCGACAATCGCACAACAGTAGTGCGATAGTTTAGTCAAAGGTGTGCTCACGCTCACTCAACTGGACTTTTCATCACTTAAGCCAGTCGCTATATGCAATCATTACCCGACTTTGAGTATAACAAAAGTTGTAACAAATGACTGTCGCAGTGTACGTGACGTCACGTGACGTCATGACGTGCGTGTCGTGGCGAGGGCGAATGCGAGGGCGGGGTGCGGGGTGTCGGTGCGGGGTTAGAGCGAGCCCGCGGGGAAGCTGGCGGAGGAGTTGCTGTGCGCGAGCGACAGCATGGAGCCCGACAGCGACTGCTCCTCCTCGCCGTACCCCTCCCGGCTGCCCTCCGCGATCGCCATCGCACTGAAAAGTACAAAAATATACTTAAACATTTTGCATTTACTGTCAAGGAGCTGTCGCAAACTTCGTTAGCGCAAATTTAAACCACCCGTTACGCCATTTTGACAACACGGAATTAAAAAAAGTAGCTTATAATATTCCTATCCATGTCAGCTACCCTCCAGTGGGTCTTTTTAAAATCAGCCTAGCCGTTTCGGAGATTACCCGGAACAAACGCGGCTTGCGGACAGACAGACAGAGACGAATTTTAAATGCGATGTACGTTATCACCAACGCAAATAAATCATCTTCCCGGAATCTGGAATTTTTCTTTTGATATTACAAACAGATACTCCCATTTTATTATATATATAGATAGATATAGAATTTTCATGTGGTGGGTAAAAACATTGGGGGGTGGGTGTGTACCTGAATCCGAGGCGCGCGCTCTCGTTGTCGAAGTGCGCGAGCTCCTGCTCGTGACGCTCGTGCATCAGCCGCGTGCGCTCCGCGCGCTCCGCCATGAACTGAGCGCACTCGGACTCCATCTGGAAACATTACATACATTCTATCTACATGTAACATTTATACGATTTATTGGAATTACTTAGGATTGAAGGAAATTAGTAAAACATCAATCTGTAAAGAATCGTCAGATGTCACAAAGAGCGAGTTGATAGAAATTTTATTATGAAATTCTTGTGTTGAAACTCATTTTAAACCGATTACAAAAAGATGGAGGTTCTCAATTCGTCAGTATTTTATACTTGCTGTTGCTCGCGACTTCGTTCGCATGGAATTGAAAAATAATAATAAGCCTATGTTACTAATAACATAGCTTTTTAACAGTGAAAAATTTTAAAATCGGCACAGTAGATTTTAAGCTATTTGCAATTTGCAATGCATACAAATATACAAATCTTTTCTCTTAATGTTATTATTAGCATAGATAAACACGGCCTAAATCACGTGAAAACGTGAAACAGGTGTAGCCATTGTCTGTGTGTTTTGCTTTTTTTGATCCTTGAAACTTTATCCTCTAAGCAGTTAGTTACCTTCTGTTCTAGCAGGGCGCGGCGCACGGCGACCCTCTCCTCCAGCTCGCGACGCTCGCGGTTGCGCTGCGCCTCCGCCTGCATCTTGCTCTTGCTCTGGTAGGCCGTCAGCATGTCCAGCTCGTGTTCCAGCTGCATCTTCTTCTGCTGGCACTCCATCTGAACACGGTCATACGAATAGAATTAAAAGGCCTTATATTTGATTTCGTATTTCTAAAAACAACTAAGGAATGTGCATTTCAAGGCAAAAATTTTTCACACGTTGATTTTTTGCTAAATGATTGCTATTTGTTGTTAAAGTAATGTCTAATGTTAGTGCCGATCTTTTTCATTTTTATCGGATGATCTTATTACGTACGACGTCCGCGGGAAAGTTAGTGTATAATGTTGTCCAACATATCTGGTAGCATTAACGCCATGATTTTAGCATAGATCTTATAAAGCGTTACGAATACGATACGAATCGTAGAGGAAAAGGTATTGTCTGTACATTAACTAAGAGAAAATAGTCATATCGTGATGACTAGCTCACCATCTGACTCTCATCGAGTTTAATGGTCTGCTTCTGCAGCATGTCTGTGATGCTGAGGTCGTACTGCTCGCCCAGCTTCACCAGCTTGCGGCGCTTCTCGTCCTTCAGCGCCTTGATCACCTCCTTCTGTTGTTCCTGCACACAACATACACAACTTATACAAAATGTCTATGTTAGTGTGTAAAAAATGAAAAAAAGAACAAAATACAAAGGTATCAATCACTAACAAAAAAAACTGTTTCCAATTATTGTCAAAGATTAGAAAGGTGCTACTATCTGTTATTTCTGTTAGAATATATGTAAAACATTTATGAACAAAAAAACCTGATAGATACCGTTCGTAAAAAATATTGGAATAGATTTTTTAAATTAGCAGGAGGTCGTTATTAACTTGTTATAATATAATTTGAGTCACGTCCACCGGGTCAGTTAACTTTATCAGTCGATGTATACTTTAAAAAATTATTGGTTATAATAATAATATTCACAATGTTTACCTTAGGTGTCATTTGCAATATCTGGGCCTTCAATGCCTTATACTGACGAGTCTGTATCTTGCACGTCTCACGGAACTGCTTACGGATCTGCATCTCCTTTTGCTGTTCAACAACATACCGTCAATACAAACACCAGTCACATACATGAATTTACGAATATGAGATAAACATTATCTTCTGTCAGTCGGGTAAAATTAGAAGAGGATAGCAGAAAAAAGTATGGATAGATTGTGTGAAAGAGGATATGCTTAAGAAGGAAGTGAATTCAGATAGAAATGTATGGAAGAACAGCACATACTGTGCCCCTCCGTATGCACAAGGGCAAGCTGATGATTAATATCAGTCGGGTAAAACTACTATATGTATATTTTCTGTAAGAAGTGTGTACACTTAGAGACGTTGTGGCGTAGTTGTAATATAGTTGTGGTGTAGTTGTGGTGTAGTTGTAGTGTAGTTGTAGTGTAGTTGTATTACAGTTGTGGTGTAGGTGTATTGTAGTTGTGGTGTAGTTATAGTGTAGTTGTGGTGTTACCTTGAGGCTCTTGGGCTGCTGTTTGAGCTGCAGCGCGTGCTTCTTGCGCAGGTCGTGCTCCTGCCGCTGCATGTAGTCGCGCTGGTTGGCCAGCTCAGTCGCGTGCTGGTTGGCCAGTTGCTCCTCCCTAATATACACAAGTCTTTACTATACGGTACCAGTGTGGGTTTACATTGTCCCAGTAATACAGCACTGTAGTGGGACTGGAATAATGTTAACTGGGCATACATGCTATACATAGTAATTGACATCTGCTATCACTATAGCAGGACCATTAAAGATACTTTCTTGAAGTTAGATCGGTTCAAATTTCAAACACATATTATAAAAGTCGTTACAATGTTACGTAAACCCCCTTTTCGTTTTAAATAATAATGATGTTACAAAGAAATATAATTAAAATCATTGATTATTCATAATTAAATTAGAATATCATAAATTTGTAGTCCATATCGATTATATTGATATGGACTACAAGCATATACGATATATCGATATCATACTTTAATCTATGTTTTTATGCAGGGCACTTCTCTATGAACCTTAAATCGAAAGATGTTGAATGTTACTTAATTTATTAGCCCTCTAAAAAGTGATGTCCAATATAACAAACTTAATTCTTATTCAAATTGGTTTGAAATCTTTTGTAATACAAAGTTTAGGTTATCATTTGGAGTAGAAAATACGGCATGTTACCTGAGAGCGTGCACGCCTTTCTGCTGCCTGTACTCCAGCTCCTGGGTCTTCTCATGGTGGCGTAGTAACATCGCGTGCGCCTGCTCCAATTGCTGCTGACGCTTGTTCAACTCCTGTTACACAGACATTATATTAATTACTACTGTTTGAATGGATGGAGGTTTCTACCTATCTCCAAGCGGACGAATTTCGATATTTGGCACAATTGTAGAATATAGCTCTGGTAAAAACAACGGTCCAGCAGTTTTTGTTTATTTATTACTAGCTTTGGCCCACGACTCCATCCGCGTGGTTTTTTTTAAAAAAAAGTAAGGAGCCTATATGTTCTTCCAAACTGTCCTCTACATCTATACCAAATTTCATCGAAATCCGTTCAGTCGTTTAGGCTAAAAACTCTAACAAACATCCATCCATCTAAACTTTCGCATTTATAACATAAGTATAATTTACAAAAATATAAATAATTCCTATTTATAATATGAGTGTAAATTGTAAAGTGTGGGAAGTCAAAAATGGCATTATCATATAATTCATTTTGCATGGTAAGTTCAACTAACATTTTAGATACGTAAATTTAAATAGATGTATGAATGTTACCACTAAACTGCAGAATGGCTCAACTTATTGTGATGAAATTTAGTACATAGATAGATTAAAGCCTGGACTAGGTCATAGGCTACTTAATTTATATTTTTTAATCTTTATCTTAAATTAAATAAGTTTTACTTCGTGTCGTACCTCTCTAAGCAGCTCCTGTTCCTTGTGATGTGTGGCGAGCATACGGCGGCGGCGGAAGCGGCGCAGCTCCAGCTCGAGGTACTCTCGCTGCGACCTCACCAGCCGCGCCTGTTCCGCCTCCTCGGCCTGCTTCAGGTTATCTTTCTGTGACCTGGAATATACACAATATTAGGTTACATGCTACAAGGGCACGATTAGATAGACAAATGCGAATGTGTGACAATATCATACAGTAGCCTTTGCCCGCGACTCCATCTGCGCGAAATATAAAAATTATAAAAAAGGGGTATAGTAAAAAATATAGCCTATGTTACTCACAGAACAATAACCAGAATTTTTATGACCGGCCTAGTAGTTTTTGATCCTATTCATTACAATCAAAGTTTTCTAATACTTTTGGAGAACTATATATTGACGTGTATTATACAAAAATAATGACAAACAATGAGGACTTCCAGACGTGTGGAAGTATTACATAGAATTACTAACTAACATAAGTGCAAAAGTTTGAAAGTTAGTTTGTAGCCTAAACTGCTGAATTGATCTCGATGAAATTTGTCACACATTTAGAACATAGTCTATAAGAACACACAAACTGCTTACCAAGTTTTTAATTCCGCGAGGATAGTCGCGGGCGATAAAATTCGGCGTTTAAATTCACGCAATGCGCGTTATATGATCGATTGGTTTTAGTTAAAAACAAACAAATTGTAACACAATTAATAACAACTTACATACATTTAAAAAAAAATTAACGATTTAGTACAAAATAACATACTGTAATGTCGCGTCCCTCTGCCGCTTTGGCGTAGCATCGTCCATACTGAGCTCCTTTTTCCATCGCTCCTTGTTAGCCTTGTACTCGCGCTTGCGCTGCGCATCGAACGACTTGCGCTCCTGCTCCTGACGTGACGTTATATCTTTGATCAATTTCTTCTCATTGGCCGTGTTCGATTTCTGCTTGCGTTCCAACTCTTGCGCATGCTTCGTCTGGAATTGTACAATTTTCATTTTTAACAACAAATACAAATATAAAGAGGATTAAATAACTGCACTAGAGTATATTTGTGGAAAAAAAAGTATTTGTAATAATAGCATATTGGTAAGACCATCCGAGGATGACATTCTATGAGCTTAGACAAATTATTACACTAGCAAACATTAGCTAAATACCAAAAACTTATGGCATTTACTTTCAATGTTTCACTTGCTTGTCAGACATTGTTTTTTTTATGTTTTGACATAGTTTACCGATTTCAAATATCGCTTTGTCGAAAGGGGCTCATCATCAAAACCGATCGAATAAAAATTATTACGACGTTTGAATAGAACATGTGTAGTAGTGCACATTACACACATAGCGGATGTGAGTACACTATACACACATGATGGGTGTATATTCTGTACACTTATGGCGGGTGTGTACAGAATATAAATGATGGGTGTGTACATTCTAAACACATGGCGGATGTTTACTTTATACACACATGGCAGGTGTGTACACGGTACACATATGGAGGGTGTGTGTACCTGTAGTCGCTCAAGGTCTCTAGAGAGCTGCTGCAGCAGGGCGTCGTACTCGCGGTCGAGCTGCGCCTTGTGCGCCTCCACGTCCGCCTTGCAGCGCTCTTCCAGCTTCACCAGCGCCGCCTGGTGCTCGCGCCGCATGCGCTTGTACCCGGACATCTGCTCGTGTGTCTCCTAAACATTATTACATACAAAAATACAAATCTTTCCTCTTTACAATATTAATATAAATAATTAGAAAAGAAGTCTGTGATAATTCTGCACACATTAAGTACAATAAGGGGTTTCAGAATTAATGTTTTCTGCTACATGTTTAAGTTGTATCTGAACAGCAAACATTAGATTCATGCTATGTTATGTAAAATAAACTTATCGCAGATATAAAAAGCGTGTATATTATTGGGAAATGGGTATACAGCTTGTTTAAACAATAACTTACATGGTTATGTTCCTTCTGTTGCTTGGTGACAATGCTGGTTGTCCGTATCGTGGCGAAGTTATTTGCGCCGTGCTCAGACACTAGGGAGATAGCTACAGACACGTTGTTGCTTACACCTATAAACAATATTTTATCTGTTATTAGATAACAAAGCATTATCCTGATTACTGATCCATTTACAATTTTACATTAATGTTACAAAAATATGTTCGTCTCAATTTTCGTTTGTATTGCGGTCATCGTGATAAACACGATTGTAAGACATAAACGAGTAAATGCGTTGTAAAACTATTAGTACAAATAGCAAAATATGTACTTTTACTGTTTTTTGTATATAATTACTTTAAAAAATACACAACTATTGTGAACCAAATAGTAAAAAAACATAACGAGTTATTGCCCTCACCTCTATTGGTAGCACGTCGTTGAGTATTCCTATTATCATCTCCACTATCCTGTTGCCAAGTGGAGGGGGCATTCACGTACTCCCTGTACTCATTAGCTTGGCGCTCCCTCTCCCTCTCCCGTTGCGCCTCCCGGATAGCTTCGCGATTCGCGTAATCCTCACTATAGTCATCACACAGGGAGTCCCTATTCGCGTAGTCCCGTAACGCGTCCCTGTTGACGTAGTCGTCGTGCTGCGCCGGCAGGGGGCTCTCGCTCTCTCTGCGCACACAACACCAACATGAGTAAAGCCACTTGACTCTGGAAGGGAACGGTGCGCTCTAATGCGTGTAGTGCTATGAATGACAGCCTTTTTAGGTTATAAAGCACGAATGTGTTTGTTAATTGCGATAATTTGATGGTTTTTATGTTATTTATTTGTGGAATGCATTACTAAATATATATGAGAGTCGTCTATATGTCTTTACACAAAAACTAAATTAAGTTTGTTAGAAAAACATAAGAGGTGTGAATAGAAAAATAATATACAACACACAATTTGATCATGCTATGAAACTACATATTAACAGTTTTATGATAGGAAGGAGATGTTCTCTTATAAATTGAATACTTAAAAATGAGTAAATCAATGATAAGATGAAAATATGAATAAATGTTCATCATACCTAGCAGAGTGTGTAGAGTGCTGGTGGTTGAACTGCTGGTACTGAGGCTGTTGTTGATGTTGCCCGTGGTGATTGGCGTTGAGCTGGAAGTCATAAATAAATAAATTTATACATTTCACTCCGACATACGTCTGAACTTCTGATGTCATGACCAGTAGTTTGAGAGTAAGTATAGTGCAATGCAAACTTTGTGGTCTCGCAATATAACGACCACAAAAAACTCTTTTCGTCTTATGAGTGCGTATGCTTTAAACAAATTGTGGTATGCTTGCCCAATAATAGAAAGATCTGGGAAGGTAAGGTAAGAGAAATTTAAGTTATCGACGGCAGCGATAGCCAAAGTAAATAGAAATGAGAAATTCTAACAAAACCAATTTTACATTTCTAAAAGTAATACCAGACTAGTTGAAGAAATACATATAAACATTTCAAACACTGACAGCCTTACAAATAAACGAGGTATAAAGTTAAACTTAGTAACAAACTGAGTATAAGCAGATATTAGTACAATTTTTTCTTATATTCAGTTTATTCCTAAGTTTTCCGTTATACCGCGTTTATTTGTAAGGCTGTATAACTACAAAAAACCGTAAAATATGATATTATCAGCCAGTTAAATATAAACATATTCTTATATCTATTGATTTACGCCATATATGACCCTATATCCCTTTCCTCTAGGATCAGTGACGTCATAAGTCCATAGAGAATAATATAATAATGTGTGTACAATGTTCCCAGGGTGAGGTCTTCGGCGCAGGCTGCCGGATGATGAGCTCTGGCTTGATGCTCCAGCCACGCTGTGCTCAGACGTCGCGGAGTTAGACTTGGAGCTGTCTCCCCCTGAACGTTCCTCCGCTGTCTCTTCACTGTCACCTGCACAATATACATGTTTAGATTAATAATAGTTTCCAAAAGTCATTCAAATAAATCCAAAGTTATCTATAAATAAACAAGGTATATAAAATGTCATCTATATTCAGCTCCCACAGAAGACCAGCTCATGTGGTTTTTAAAAAAATAAATTCATTAAATAAAAGACTGAATTCCAATCACTAACCAAATCATTATTCTGATAAGGAGTAGCTACAAATTACAATTCTTATTAGTTTGTAGTCTAAATTACTGAACGGATCTCCATAAAATTTGGTATAGTAGAGCATAGTCTGGAAGAACACATAGGCTATTCACTTTTGTTTTTTTTTTTTAGTTTAGTTTTTTACGGAATCGCGGGCGAAAGCGAGTAGAATATATAACTTTAAACGACAGAATAAAACTGCCTTATACTAGTCTAGAATAGTAGACTATTTTCGTTTTTTTTTTAATTCCTCGTGGTTCCATGCATACCAAAGGCACTCTCATTATCAGCATCGACCATGAGTATCTTCTTCATCTTCCTGTAGCTGAGGTTGTCCAAGTCGCGTACAGCAGCCTTTGTGCGCTGGATGAGGTCCACCAGCACGTTGGGTGAGCGCGGCCGCGTTATGTACGGGTGAGTCAGCAACTTGGTAGAAGAAGGCCGCTCCTGCGGGTTCTTCTGCAGACACGCCTCCACAAAGTAACGAAACGTATCCGTCCATTCCGGCGCCTGGAATTGTTAATAGCAATTGTTATTATAACTTAACACTAAATACTAGGCACCTGAAAGGCAAACACTTAGAACACCTTCATTTTACTTTACTTCACCATTTGTGAACCCTATTTTAAATTGTTTTTATGAATTCATATTTTTTGTCGTATCGTCGAATATTTCATCACTTTTAAATAATAACAACAACACTTACTTGTAATGTTGGCGAATCATTCTGTGCGATGTGATAGAGTGCGGACATGGCGTTCATATTGAAGTACGGCGGCTTGCGTTCCGCCAACTCTATGCAGGTGATACCCAGAGACCACACATCCACCTACAAACATATGTTAAAAACATTTATAAGTTATAAAAATAATTAAAAACAACTCTTAAATTGGAATTATTCAAGTGAATTCTAACCTAATTGCTCCGCCTAATGTACTCAATAATGCTACATTTAAATTAGTAAATAGTCACAAACAACAAACCTTTCCATCATACTGTCCTTCGTCCATAGCCAAGATGACCTCCGGAGCCATCCAGTATGGTGTCCCCACGAAGCTGTTTGCCGGGCATTTGATACTGGCGCTGCCAAAGTCTGCCAACTTGACTGTTCCATTCTCCGTCAGCAAAATATTACCCGCCTTGATGTCCCGATGAATCCTGCCCAAGCTGTGCAAGTAAGAAAGGCCGCAGACCACGCCCTCACATATAGCAGCTATCTCCTCTTCTCGCAGCGGACGTTTGTGGACCTGCAGAGAGACCTGAACTGAACATACATTGAAATTCAACATTCAATATTATTATTGGTAATTCAAACTGGTCGCCGTCGACAATTTCAACCAGTTTGGGAAACTTACCAAATATATATCTTCATCCTTGTAAACAAAGACAAAGAAAAGTTTACGTTTTTATTTCAAAAACGGTAAATGTAATTAGTGCAGGAGAAACCGAATAAAACGGGCTAGAACTAAAACGGCCTACGGCTAGACGCCATTTGACTGCCTTAAAAACAACACAATAAGATTAAGACTATTGCTTGTGCATTTCGCGTGGATGACACAGACAAACTGGAGTTACCGGGTTTACATGAATAATATATATAGGTATATTCAACACCAGCCAAATTGTCATATATTCAAAGATATTTTGCTAGACGGTGAAATCAAGCTAGTGTCATTTCTACTTTCACTAGCGTGGGATAGCAGAAGTAACAAAGAGAATTTCCTTAAAATAGCTTCAATGAACGCGATGGTTTCTCACGGTCATTGCTCGCCAATTCATACCATTATCATCAGCATGATGTTAATTTAATATAACAAATAACTATTTAGAAGTTCAAAATGCTAGCAAACAAGTGGAACACATCATGAAGTTAAAATAGTTAATGTACACTATTTTATAAAAATGTTATAACTTTATTTATTTATCTTTATTATCTTTATTTCTTATCTAACTTTCGAAGAATTATTATTCCCCTATTCTCTTTAAACAACAGATTATACTGCTATTTCGGCTATAGGAACTCGTAGAAAAGCGTATAAGCGTATATATTAATTAAAAACATTTACAAAAGCTATAAATATTGGTTTTCAAATCATCTTAAAAACCCTGCTGATCATTCACAACAGTAATGCGAAGTTTGATTATCAAACGAGATAAAACTTATGCGTTGTTTTTGATGCATCTGACTCACGGGTTTATTGAATACATTGTGCTTTTTTTATGATTCGCGTCTGTCTTAGGAACTCATAATTGATCTTTAAAAAAAATCCGGATATCCTTTTTAATCGTTTCCATTTCGTTATACGTGAGAACTTATCTTTATTCTTTGAAACCAGTTCCGAGAAAAGCCGATAAAAATTGCATATCTTTTCGACTGATATAATAATACTGACCCTGACTATAGTATTTAGGGATAATGATTAACGATATTTATTGGATTAGTAAGAATCTCGGCCGACACAACTAAATCGATAGAGAACATATTCAATAAACGTATATCGTGGTTATAGCAACATATATTTAACAAAAATCCTGCCTACTACCAAGAGAGGTAGGCAGAGAGGGCTTCAAGTTTCGAATTACTCTAGCATTTGTTTCTTTCCTTCTATTTTTTAACAGCAAACTCTTTATCTTCCTAATTAGTATAAGTAAACTCACTTTATTTTCCAACAAATAAACAAAATGTTGACTATTTTCTGTTTCCTAAATTGTCGTAACACAACATCTGATGGACTTCTGGCGTTGACAAAGTTACGTTCTCTGGCTATTAAAATATATAAACATTTTAAACAGATATGACAAAGCCTAAAACAATTGTTGTACAGATAAGACACAACACAATAGAATTTATCACTTAATAGTGAAACAATCAGATAACTATGTCCCAGTCTCATGTGTAACAAATTCATCAATAATAAAAATTTGATGAGTCAAAAGCACTTTTTGCCAAGTGGCTTGTATAAATCACTTATCTTTCCCAGAATTTAATGACGTCATCAACAAATTACAAGTAAGTCTGTTATACTTACAGCCAAATACTGAAACGAAACTTAAACACTCCGCTTCACATACCACTTCTACTCTAACAGGCATCAAAATTTGTAGGGAATTTGAAGTTTAAGCATGGCCTTGTTATTTAAGATGCTGTTACATATTTAAATGGCGTTTCAGTATTTGGCCTTTCGCCTTTTTAATATTGATAGACATTTGCATATCAAATTGTATTACTAGACCCTAAAAAATAATCCTAATCTAATAACAATATGCTAATAAACAATTGTTTTAAAAATTATCGTTAAACCTAATCTTCTTAATAATACAAAGTAGTCTAATACTATTATTATAAAAAAGAAATTTTGTAACTTTGTATGTATTGCAATAACTCAAAACGATTAGTCTAATTATAAATACACTTTCATCGTTAGAAAGGTAATATATCTGTGAGTAACAAAGGTTAGATTTTTTAAAAAATCATAGAAGTCGCGAGTAACAGCTATCTAATTGTAATTTTAATGGAGTCGGAGGGATTTATATTTGCAATCACAAAACCAGAATGTATTGACAGATTTTAAAGAATCTTTTATATCATAAGGTTGTATAAAAGTAAAGTAACAGGTGCTCATTGACATCAAAAATTGTAGATGCATTCCCTAAACTAAATCAACAAATGAAATGCAAGGAAAAAGGATATTTTCCCTTCAATCTCTGCACCAGTCAAACCCACATTCCTTTATTGGAAAGGACTTAGTAGTAGTAGTAGTAGGGGCTACAGTTTCCGTAACCCCATGGCTAGCGCATATTTGAATTTTGGAAAGGACTTAAATTAGAAGAATGGCGACCACCAATTAAGTTTTTTCCCTGCCACAATTGTGTCAGGTATTTATTAATAAAGTAGGTAGTTACCTCAATGATATCAGATGCTGAACCAACACAATACTCCATCACAAGCCATGCTGTGTGTTCTCTCTTGTAACAGCCCTTGTATTCTATTGTATTGGGATGTTCCAGTTGCTTCAGAAATCTATAAACAAACATTCTGTGTCATACATTTTTATATCATACTAATCATACTAATATTATAAATGCGTGAGTTTAGATGGATGGATAGATGGATGTTTATTAGAGTTTCTAGCCTAAACGACTGAATGGATTTCAATGAAATTTGGTATAGATGTAGAGGATAGTCTGAAAGAACACATAGGCTACTCACTTTTGTTTTTTTAATTCTAGCTAGAAAGCTAGTATTACTATAATTAAATTCTTTACAAATTAATGGAATGTTGCAGTCTTTACTTATAATGTCTTCAATAATTAGAAATATCTATATGATTTTGTTATTGTTTAACTTAAAGTATGCATAAAGAATGAACACTTAAGTTGTTTAATGTCAAAAATTTTAACAAGTAAATGGGAAAGAATTATAATTTTATTTTTATTATAATTAAATATGTTTTTACATATTTCCCAAAAGAAAGAGTGCCAATATAAATTACTCATAGCATAAATTTGCAAGTTTTCTTAGATGTATGGATGGATATTTCTTACTATGTATCTACAAAATGATTTAATGGTTCTCAAATAAATTTGATACAGTTTAAAACATAGTTTGGAAGAACATATAAATATGCAAAAGGTAGTAATTCGAAAAATTAAACCTACCTGCATGAATGATGTTTGTAAAACAAAATTTTACAATTTATATTATTATTTCATAAGGAAATATTTTTTGATATGATTAGGTATTAATATAAAGATATGACATTTCCATAAATTTATAGTATGAATAGTTATTTAAAGCAATAATTAACTGGCAACATTTATTTTATGAAAAAAAAAAACAAACTAATATTACTGCAATTTAAAATTTGGAAATGTAATACCATCCCAAAGTCTTTACTCTTGAGAAACACCTTGAGATCCACCATATTTGTCCAACAAACTAAAAATGTTTAGTGCATATGAAGCAAAAAGTTTTAAATATTATGAATATTTTTAATGCATAAGTTTAGTGGATGAATGTTCGTTAAAAGGTATCTCCCAAATGGCTTAACAGAGCTCGATGAAATTTGGCACAGATGTGGAAAAGTCTAGAAGAACACAGTTACATGTTAATTTTTAATTAAATTCCTGTGAAGGGAGTTACGGGGAAAGGCTAGTGTATTTAATATGTTTTTAATATTTGAATCATATAAACAACTTACTTTATTTCTTTCAATATATCTTGCCATTTCTCCTCACTCTGTTTCCCCAGGTAAGACATTTTCTTGATGGCAACAATCTCTTTTGTGAGATTGCACCGAGCATAGTAGACTGCGCCAAATGAGCCATGACCAATTTCACGCAAGTCTTCAAATATCTTCTCCGGGTCATGTTTACTGAATAGTTCCGCAATGTCTGGGTCCTTAAGACTGCCAGGCCGCGGCATTCTTATCTGAAATTATATCATTGTTATAATTTGGAAGCAAGCAAAGTTTTCTTCTGTAGAAAATGTTACAAATAGAATAGAAATACTTCTTATAAGATAGGTCTTAAGTGAGATGATAATTTGTGCCAACTTCATAATAAGTAGAATAATGACTGATATTTTAGGAATACAATGTAAAATTAAACCTTAACATATCTATTTTTTAATACAGAGTTGAAATACATAACATTTAAAGGATGTTTCATTTGTTTCTGATTATATAATGATATTATTTTATATTTCCAAGTTTTGTAAAAAATTGTGACACATGATTCCATTAACATTATATGGATTTAGCTAACAAGTAATTTTCAAGCAATAAAGTAGTGTTAGATAACACTCAAACACTTCATTTGGATGAGTTGAGGTCCTAGGACATGTGAAAATTTCTGCATTTTCAATTTCTTATTAGAAACAGGCAGTAATGCAGAGGTTCAAGTGAAACTTTTATGTCTAGTTGTAGGCGAAGAGAATGGACGGAATCTTAAAAAACATACCGCTTGCGCCAGCTGTAAGCCGGCGGCGTCCGTCAGTTAATTAGAACGCTCCCGCCGTTCCGGGCCATCCTCCGCGCCACTCGCTATCTGAAACCGTCGGAAACGATACCGATAACACTCACCATGCCATACGAATGCCATCCATCCTTACAACCACCTTAAGATCATGTCAGAAACACAAACAGGGCACAATCAAATATTGACATTTACAATACATCAGTGTTATAATCTAATTAAATGAACCAGACAGACGTCGCAGCAACCCACCTCTGCATCCACTCGCCTTCACTGTCACATATTACGTACTCCTTTATTGATCATTAAACAAACGATATAGTTTCACGTCCACTTAAGTCGATAATTGTTAACAACACGCCCCTATAACTGCGGGAAAATCTAAAATATTGCAAAATACTTGGCACTTACAATACAAAATTTCGCCTCAAAATGGCGTTGAGGTATAGAATGCGATGATAGCTTTTTGTTTTATAAGGCACTTAGTTTATGTTTTATCATCACTTTTAACTATCACTTTATACAAATGAAATCACTTTTTATTTATCTTAGATTTTTCTCAACACGTTTTGTCCAAATTTTACTAAATTACTATTTACAACTTTCCCGTACTGATACATATTCTCAGAAACTTCAACTAATGGCGCCCTCTCTTGTCATTTTTAGAAACATTTTTTTCTTTTTAAAAAGCTCTAACAGAACTGTCAAACAATTTAATCTTTCATCCATGTTAACTTCATTTCTCCACATGCACATATTTTCTAAAAAAATTAATTTTTTCTCCCAGCTAAACCTAAGTTTATTTTGTATAAAAACATATGTTTAAATATATTAACAATTTTATTAAAAACAGATGCGGTGCCTACTTTAATCAACAGAACACGCCTCCCAACCCCTGCGATGTCTACTTTCATTTCCCATTCTTTCCTTACACGAAAAGGACAAAAGGACAGATATTATGCCTTCTACATACACTCATCAGACGAAAGGGAAACTGCTCGTACATGACTGCGTATGGTCTGTCTGCCTGTAACACATCTGTCTTCTTTTTCTTCTGTATGGTCTTGCTATTTCACCGGGCAAGCCGGTCTATTCGTGCGAAGATGTTATAGTAGCCTCTACCACATTTCGAGTATGTAATAGCCTCGCTTTTATTCTTTACGATTAGTCCAAGAGTGTCTATATAGCGAAATTATTTCCCCACGTCTGACCTCCGTATATACCTTTTACCAAAGTCCTAAAAAGCAACATCGGTATATACCGTATGGCTATATATCGGCATATACCGTATGACTAGGCACTCGGCTGTATTATCCACAGTTTCTATATTTTTATTCCTATTTTGCGATTTGCAATCTTATTTTGATCTTCGATACTTCTTTTAGAATCAATAGACATCTAATCTGCCTCGTCATTTAATGTTTTTAATGTCAACATCAACAACGACTTTGCTATTGAGCTTAAAATTTATTTGTTAAAATATCTAACACTATAATGAGGTAATGTAGTAAATGCAGACTTATAACCCTGTCAATTAGTACCGGGTTACATCGAGAGCGTGAGTGTAAGGTAGAAGTTAAAAATTAATTGTTTTCTTTCCAAGTTTTATTTATTACAAAAGAATAAATACATGTTTTACACAAAACCGAATATTTTTATAAAAGTAAAAAAACACAATAAAACAAGTTATTCTACCAGAACTGTGCATTGACTCTTGTATTTAATATATCATTCCAACTGAAATGCACAGTTGGTAAAATATAACAGAAAGTAAATAACATCTTTAGGATTAAATAATACATAAAGTTGCTTGATCTTGTTGGAACATATCGTAATAATGCATTTTTATCTCCACCGATGGATGTTTACGTATGTTTTCACGTATAACCTTAATCTTTTCGTCATCGCGTAACAATGTCGTAAACTGTAACGCAGCTAAATACCCTGCTAGGAAGTCCTCCTTCTCAACAAAACTCTTACATATCTCGTACTGTATGTTTTCTGAAAAAAGGCGACTAATATTTGCAAAAGCCTTCATGAAAAGTATATAAATTCGGGGGAAAAGTGACGATGTGTCTTTTGATAAATAATTTTTGCAAATTTCACCGAACTCGGGAGCTGTTTTTATGCACGTATCCTCCCAAATTATCGGTTGATTTTTATCGAACAGGGTTACCAAGTTCGTGGCTAACTGCCATGTTCTAATTAAAATATAGTTTTCGGACAATGACAACGACTGCTCTAACATTTTTTGTATAATCGTGAATATTTTAACAGGCACTATCATTTTCTTTCCATCTATAAAATCCTCCAGGTCGTAAATCAAATCAAATAATAGCTTTTCAATATTCTCTTTAATGTATTTGGATTTTATCTGATCGTTCCATAATTTTATAGATCGTATTAAAATTGGAGCTAGTAATTCATCATATTTCTTCATTTGTTCTTCTTCTGTAATAGAGCATAAAATATATGAGGATATAAGCTTAGTCTTATCGCCAGAGTATGTCCTTTCTTTAAAGAACTCATTGTTAACGTAATCATCGATAACAGCGGTCATAAACTCAGATGGCATAGCATCAATAATTTTTATACTATACATCACAAGACGCTGGACATCCCATTCTGATCCTTCAAATTCTTTTTGATTATTTTCAATTAAATTTTTCAAGTAATTGTAAGACTTAACTAAAAACTTTGCTTTTATACTTTGAGGTATTTGATCGACATTATACAATAATTCGTATATCGATTTATCTTCAAGAAATGTCAGATTGTCGATTAAAATCTCCAATAGTGCCCAAGATTGTACAACATTTAATTCATCCTTTTCATTGCATAGGAGTTCAAAAACAATTTTAAAGATCCCTGTTCTAATTGTGGTATTTTTAGCATCCTTCCACAGAGCACTACATAATTCTCTTATTCTTTCAGACGATAACTTATTAGTTAAAAGTCTAAGTCCATGCTTTTGTAAAGAGACTGGAGTATTCAGTATTTGAGATATAACTTCTTGATACTGTATGGAGGTCATATTATAATAAACTGCGAGAACAGAAGGCAATGCATACTTCAGATAGTCTCCCTTTGCATACGAAAGCACAGTCTCCAAATTCGGTTGTGGCCGAGCGCTGTGCATATTCTTGGCAAGGCACCTCTGTAGACCTAATTCAAGGTCATCCATATCAGAACTATCTTTTGAATCTATTGGTGCATGTTTATTTAAAAACATTAGGAGTTCTTCCTTTGACAACAAGATGCACAGTCCTCGAGTAATTGCATTTTGCCCATCGGATTGATTCAGATGATTTATATATACGTTTTTCCAATATTGATAAATAGATTCTGGCCAATAAATTCTAACTTTACGAAGTAAACGTATAAGGGACACGTCGTTATTTGAGAAAATCGACTCTACCTCATTTTTATACAGGTCTAACAAGTTTGGATTATGTTTTATTATATTAACACAAACTTCTTCGGTGGGAGATAAAATAATTGATTCAGTAAACATATGTCTTCTCCAGGATTTTTGTACATTGTACAATGACGGTATAATATTGTTTATTTTGGATTTGACAGGTTCATACCAAACCGTTTCATGCTTCATTTTGACTAGCTGGCGAATTTCTTCAAGAAAAAAGGGATAGTCGAGAATATTTTTATTCCATTCTTTTAGTAATATTAATGCGCTTTTCAGTGACTCAATGTATTTTAAAAAGTCATGATCTCTTTTCATTTTATTACTTTGTACTTCTTTCCATTTTATATCTAGTAAGTATTTGAAAATAGTTTCCTTCTCTTTCGGGTCTAATTTGGTTTGCACAGTTTTAAAAGAATTGCATAATGTAAGTAATTTTGCCGTTATCTCGGGTACACTCTTGTGGTGTAGAATTTGGTACACAACCAGATTTTCGATAATTGTTTTATCAAAAGAATATTTGTTGTAAATATCCAAGCTATCTATTATGTGTTGCAGAATATTCCAACAATCTTCATTAAGTTTGTGAGTATTAAAGTGTGACATAAAATTTACCAAAAAACTGATTTTTATTTCCTTCGGAAAATTCATGTGTTTCTCTCGAAAGTATTCCAGTAAGCACTTTCCATGTTCTAAGTTACCTTTAGCGGAAAGTATTATTGTCTCCAGCATTTTGTTTTTCTCTTTTGCGTCAGTTTCAAGTCCAATTATACTTTTAACATTGGAAAATGCAAGTTCAAATGGAAAGAATTCGTACCATCGATACGAGGGAGTTCGATATTGCAACTCTCTAATTAGTTTTATAGTTTTCCCTAATTCAATTTCATTACTTTTAATTTCACTTATGAAATATTGATTAATGAATTCAACTCGTTTTGATTTCGACATTGCGCTCAAGAACGAGCTCCAATTTGTAACGCTACTAAAGTAACGGGTTAATTCGTTTTCATTCTCTTCGTTGACAATATTTTTCATGAGAAATATTTGTAAATCATCATTTAAATACTTTACGAAAGTAGGTGTATCGATGTAGTTGCAATAACGACTGAACTTATCAATAATTCTTTTAGGACATTTCGTCATCAAAACTTTCGTAGCTCGTTTACCAAACTTGGGCTGTGAATATATTGATTTTGATTCAACAATATCTAAATATTTGTCAACATTAACGTGCAATAAAAATAACGTTTTCAGAAAAACTTCCGAACTTACATATTCTCTTTCGGCATATTTTTCTAGGAATATTATCGATTTCTCGCATAGACGTACCAGTATTGGGATGTTAATTTCATCTGCGTGTTTACTAAAATTATTTTCAATGAATTTTATCGAACATTTGTGCAGCCATTTTATTGCTTCTGAAGATTTTGTTTCATAGTTGTAAAATTGTTCTGCGCGTAATTCATCTTTTAATTTAAGGTTTATCAAATGTTTTAGTTTAAAAACCGCTTTTGTTTGCATTCTTGGATATAGATTTGCATTTAGATATTCAGGATTTATAATATGAGCATATTTTTCATCGTTTATTAACCAATCGCAATTCTTCAGTGCTCGAATAATGTATAACAGATCACTGCATTGTAAAGTTTTAAGAATAAATTCTACATTCTTATTCGCATTAGCAACGTCGATATTAATCAAGTTTCTAATATCAGATTCGTTTATATTTGGTTCGTCAACATTTAAGGTATGTTTTTTGGCATCTTTAACCAATTCATTAAAGCGTTTATGTCTCTCTCCAAGATTATTTTCCGGCGCCATATTGAGACTCTGTAAGAGAAATTAAGTCCATGTTTTATTTATATTCATATAATAGTTAACTCAACTTGTTATTATTATTATTAGTAATAGTTATTACGTTTTATGAGTTACACAAATGAGAAACCACAATCAACTAGCATACGATAATGATTGAGGAAAATGAAACAAAAATGAATAAAAACGCTACAATTTTGATTACAATTTATTAATTCCAAATAGGATACATGAACATGGATATATTGTTAAGCTTAAAATATGTTTATGTACAAAGCACAGATAATACAATGATACAAACGGTTGGGCAAAAACTTTCCCCTACATAACAGTAGATTTCAAAATTTATACAAACAATAAAAAAACCTTAAAAATAAATAGGACGTAATAATAAATTAGATTTCATAACACTTATCTCAGAAATTTTAAATAAATTATCACAGAAAACTTTAACGAAACATGGCCTCTTAAGAGCAGCGGAACAGGTAGGGGCAGCTGAAGATCTAGAGAATTGTAAATTTAAAAAAAAATTCTAAGGTGGATAAGCAACCCACATAAGTAACTCAAAAACGACTTGTCAGTTTTTCATTACAGTAGGTCAAGGTAGTTTCACTACTAGCCCTCGCTTGATCATCGATCTGCCCCCTAGATTGTCGGCTGGTGACCCCCACATAAAAAACACCTACGATAAATACATTGTAAGGTAATAAAAAGCTTGTAGTTAAAGCTTACTTAATCTATACATTGATTGTAAGAGATCAATACAATATGGTTTAAAAAAAAATAACTGCATCTTACACAAAAATGTTTATCACATCTGACAGTTTGGCAAGAGGGTTTTGTTCGAATTTTCTCATACACTGCTCGTAGATTATTTATTTATTTATTAAGACTATTTTTTTAAATTCTACGAAGACGAAATCACGATCGACTGCTATTTCTAGATACATAAATATGTCAGATGGTCATTCGAATAATAATTATTGACTATTGAGTATATACAATAATAATAGCTGGCTCCAGTGGTGCACCGACTCGCCAAGACAGAAAAATCTACGCACGTCATGGGGCCCGCCGTCTACAACCGCCTGCCGGACCACGTCACAGCGGCTACCAGCCTCGCGTCATTTAAAAATAAACTTAGGTCATGGCTAATACAAAAAGCCTTCTATAGTTTCGAAGAATTTTTGCTTCCATGATTGTTTTATGTACCCAATTCTTATTCAGTCATTTTTAATATATGTAAAGTTTTTTATTTTTAAAAAAAAAATTATGACTTGTAATTCGATTACCAATAAAATATTTGTATTTGTATTTGTATTTGTATTTGTAATTGAGTACGTTTCGAATCGATTATTGAATTAAACTTTAATTTATATCATAATATATTTGGCGATAATCGATTTATAATATCGATACTTATAATAAATACTACGATTACGTAAAGCTACAGGACTAGAAGCCATGAGTAACATATGCTTTTTTTATTTCCAGATTAGCGTCGCAACCGACACCACCACATACTTGCGTTTTCATTTCTATATCTCCTTTTGTTAACTTAATAAGATCATTATGAAATCGATAAAAGTTCTCATTTCGCCGATTGTGGTAATGTAACTTCACTTCTTTTGATGGATGTAGTTTTATTATATCTAATATTTCACTTGTGGCTTCGCCATCAACTATTTCTATTCTCGGTATCAATTCCAAAACTAGTAAATAACTTTCCTTTAGGTCAACACATAAGATAGATTTCAGTATCAATAATACTACAGAATTTGAGAAATTAAAATAACAAAACATCGAATGAACAGCGTTACTAATACATATGTAAATAGAAGGATAGTAGTTTTTGATGTCTTCTCTCAAACATTTCTGTATTTCTTCCCCTAATTGAGGTGCAGCTTTTGATAATATAAAATTACAGTATTCAGTTTCCCTGTCACAGCATCCTTTTTGAAATGAATTCATTTTAATAACATGAATCAATTTACATGAAAGTCTCCAAGTCATTAATAATATGTAATTCTCTTCATTGGGTATCTTTCGTTCCATAAATTTTAGAATATTGGAGAACGAGTCATCGGGAATTATCATATGTCGTGGTAGCACAACAAATGTGAAGACTTTGCACAAGGAAGCCAGCAGACTTTCAAATGCCACCCTGTAGATGTATTTATTATCTTTTTTAACATCCCAATATGTAACACAGATCTCCATTATTGGTGTCATAATTGCGTGGTATCTATGTATATTTCTTTCAATCGTCTTGGTATATAAGATGCAAGATGCGATAAATTCTGTGTCTAATTCCATCGATAAAATATCATGTTGAATATTTTTTAATAGTATTTCTGCTAAAGTTTTGGTATTGACAGTATCTAGGCAACATCTTGCAGAATAGAGAACTTTTTGAATATAATATTTCTGATCACAAATTGTATCCTTACATTTAAAAAATATTACACTCGTCGACCAAAAACCTGCTTGTATGATAGGAGGTACTTGTTCCGTTTTTGTTAAAGTTTCGTAAATTTCAACATTCTCAGTTTCGGTTAAAAACGGAAGGTAAAACAATAATAACTTCCATATAGAGGTAATGGCAGAAATTTCTTTCTCCTTACATAACAATTTAAAGGTAGCTTTAAAGAGAGTTACGCGGATTGATTTATTTTCAATAATTATCCAAGCGTTACGGAATAATTTTATGATCTCTTTGTATTTAAGCTTATCAATGGCCACGCGAATGACGTGTTTCCGTAATGAAACACGAGAATCTAGAAGTTCTTTGATACATGTACGAGTGTTTACCTCGCTCATATTGTACAACATAGAGTTTAATGAAGATATAGTAAACTGCAAATAATCGCGTCCAGCATACGACAACGCTAACTTAATGGGTAACTGGGGTCTAGCAATGTGCATGTACTTAGCAATATTCTTTGTTTTACTCAATAACAATTTATTATCTTCAATCCAATAGATTGACTCCTGTGATGGAATATATTTAAAGACAATTTCTTTCAAAGGACTTACAGGCAAGAGATACATTAAGTGTTTAATTAAGGCCTTGTCGCCTCTATTATTAAGGCTGTCGAGGCAAAAGGAAATCGCTTCATTTGCTGATGCGGGCCAATAAATACGGATCTTGCTTAGAAGTTTTTGTAGATTTGTAAAATCTCTACAAGCAAGCAACCCCATGAAGTGTTTAGACTCTAACAATAATTTTGAGTCATGTTTTAAAACATTTATGCATACATTCTGAGATAACGATAAATTCAAGGATATGGTAAATAATTCTTTCCTCCAAGATTTATTTACGTTATAAAGGCTTGATAGATTAACATCCTTAAATTTATTTGTCTTGAGATCTATCAGTTCGGTAATCACTTTTACTACTTCTGGAAAATTAGCAAGATCTTTTTCCCAATCAGATAATAGTATTAGGACTTTTCGTAACCAAGTTACCATATTTTTTAATTCCATTTCATTTGATATATCTTGTAAATTTACTTGCTTCATAGAATAACTATATAAATAATTAAAAATCATTTCACACTCTTTTTCGTTCAATTTTTTTCTATATAATTTCATTGATTCGAAATTAAAATTTTTTTCTAAAATCTCAGAAACACCGTCGTTGTTAATAATTTTACGAATGATTGCCGCTTTGATGTATCTTTGATCCTTTTTCTTTTCTGATTTTAAATCTTCAATACTTAAGTAAATTACATTTAGATCTTCCCAACCTTTATTACTAAGGCGAAAGGCATCTACTTGTTTGAATACTTTAAGAATAAAATCTTTTTTATATACTAAGGATTCATTTATATGGTAGGAGCGAAAATATTCTAGTGTTTCTTCAACATTTTCCATGTTGTTTTCAGCAGATAGCAGTAAAATTTCCATCATCATCATCCGTTTCTTTGGTAATGACTCTGCTCTAATTGATTCTGTAATATGTAAGCAAGCCGTTTCAAAACATATATATTTATACCAGCGTATACTTTTGTGAGGGATCGCAAGAAACATGAAATATTTTAGTTTATTTGTATTTTGTAAAACATTCTCTTCTACAAATTCTGGTATTTTTTCTTTAGGCATAGCTGTGAAAAGTATGTCCAAAGCATTCTCATCAAACCATGGAACTTCTATATTTTTGTCATGATCTGATAATAGAATATCAACAAGAAAAGGTTCTGGTTGTACAAATTTAGCAAAGGTCTGTAGGTTAATTATTTTGCCATATTTTACAAAATTATTAAGAACTATTTGAGGTGCCTTTTTCATCAGTATTTTAGTATGTTTAGGACCAAATGTAGGATAGTCACTTTCCTTCAGTGACTCTAATATATTCAAATATTCTTTTAAATGATTCTTCATAAGAAAAGTAGTTACTTCCATTACTTGTTGATTGCTTTTATGTTTACAAATTATGCTATTTAAATATGTAGTTAGAAATTTTATTGATTTCTTAAAGAGACGTTTCAAAATATGAACATTGATTGCAGCATTATAGGTTTTAATAGCATTTTCTATGAAGGAATGTGAACAATTTGGTAGCCATTTTAAAGCTTCTATTAAATTGGTATCCTTAAAGAAGTCAAAAAATTCTTCAACACGAGTTTCCTTTTTAAGACTTAATCGTATATGCAATAAAAGCATAATTTTAGCTTTCACAGTCAATTCGGGAAATATTGTGGTATGCAAATATTGTGGATTAATCACATTTACATATTCCTCGTTGGTTAGTAACCAATTGATTTTTTTAATAACTTTAGTAACATAGAACATATCTGTGCATTTCAAAACATTTATAATATAATTTACATCTTTTCTGCTACAGGCTACATCTATTTTAAGCATGTTATTAACATCGGAATCATGATAATCTATAGGAGAAAGATCTAATGGATAATCCTTAATTGCCGTTTTCAGTAACTCATTGTAATGTTTATGTTTCTCTCCGAGATTATTCCCTTGAAGTACTAATGACTCCATTGTGATTTACTGTAAACAAATAGAACCAGAATATGAACATGTTATTCCCAAAACTGAAGGTGGACTCTATTTTTCTGTTCTAACAGACACTTATTACCAACCAGTACTTACAAAATCATTGGTAAATATGACAAACCACGAAAAAAATTGATAATCATGGCTTGTACTACAGTTAATCATATGAGTTAGTAAAATTTAATCTTGATTAGTGAAATAAGCGTTATCTAATTATCATTAGCAAGCTGCTTATTTTGATGCGATGTGGGATTTCATAATAATTTTACTGATTCAAAAATAATTTTGTACAATGGCTTCCCACAGTATATCTAAAATGGCGTCATATTAATATAGAAGCGAGCTTATGCACAATGATTGTGTATGAAAACAATATAATGTTAAATATCGATGAATTGGACATCCTAATCGATATGTAACAATATTGGGAAAAATATCGAATGCAAAGTACTTACATTTAACATCCTCTTCAATCTCAACCTAGTAACAGTTCTATGTAATAAATATATAGTTATTATACAGTATTCCTATATTTTCGGCATAGTATCGATCTTTTCTATTTTGTTCGCACAAACACCAGATCCTAGAAAGATCTCCTTGACATCTGTCAGAACAAAGAGTAAAAATATCCTTTAGGTACGGGCATTATTTAACTAACTAGTTAAATCAACGGTTACTACCCATCAACGGTTCAGCCGTTGGTCGTTTTTCTTTCAACTAGTTGAATTCAACTAAGGTTTAAACAAGAAATCGGCCCCCGAGACAAAGTTACTTTTGATCAGCCATAAAGTTACTTTGTCTTTAGAGGCAGAACCGGTAAAAGGGATGGTGCTCCAATCAAAAATACAAAAAGACTTTTGCATAATTTGTGACTCTTGCCACTAGAGCCAGACATTCGATTCGATGTATAAATCTACGAGCGATATGAGTCACTGGTTTTATTTTTTATTAGTCGCCAGACTTCGTATGGAAAACTAGGTTGACGATACGAATTAAATTTAACAAATTAACGTTTGGAATTCGTTTCGTTGACGTCAAACAAAACCGTCAACGAACACCACTAGGTACTGTGACGTAGGCATTTGCTTATTTTCAAAGAGTAAAAATATAGTAACCAACTGTAATAAAAAAAGGAAGTCTGTGCAGACTAATAAAAATAAATAAATATTTACATGTCTTGAGCACAAAAAGTATTCAGTATTTGTGCTTTACTTTAGAGGAATTTGATTTTGTGCATCTGTAGTTCCTCTGGTGTTGCGGATGTTCATGGGCGTCGTTGGTCACCTCGGTGTTCCCGCCGCACATTGGGCTGTATCCAGTTGCTCCATAGACAACTTTATCTGATGTTTGAAATGTCTCTTTTTTTTGCTTGAATGTGCTTTGTAT